CTTTTGTTTCCAGAATCAGTTTGGGAACAGAAATGCGTTTGCTTAATTTTTTGATTCTGGGCACAATTTTGTCAAAAATTGTTCCCAGAATCAGTTTTCAAGAATAAAAAAAAGTAGCTTCTTGATTCTGGGAACAATTTTGAGAATCAATTTTTTTTTTCTTCTTCCTTTTCTTGGTTTTTAATGTAGCTTTTAATGTCCTGCCCGAGGATCGCCCTCGCCGGATCTGACGAGAATAAAATATTTTAATAAAAAGTATTATTAAAATAAAAAATATTTTACCGGCCATGGCCGGCGACCAGGCCATGGCCAAAAAAAAGAAAAAAATATTTTACCTGCCATGGCCGGTGACCAGGCCATGGCAAAAAAAGAAAAAATATATATTTTTAATAAAAATATTTTAATAAAAAATATTATTAATAATAATAAATATTTTACCGGCCATGGCCAACGACCATGCCATGGCCAAAAAAAATAAAAATGTATATTTTTAATAAAAATATTTTAATAAAAAATATTATTAATAAAAAAATATTTTACCGGCCATGGCCCAAAAAAATAAAAATGTATATTTTTAATAAAAAATATTATTAATAAAAAAAATATTTTACCAGTCATGGCCGGCGACCAGGCCATGGCCAAAAAAAAGAAAAAATACTTTCTAATAAAAATATTATTAATAAAAAATTAATATTTTACCGATCATGGCTGACAGGCAGGCTTCATGATGCAAAGGCAGGAAAAGAAAAAAAGAAAAAAAAAAGAAAAAAGAAAGAAATATTAAAATATTTAAAAATATTATTAATAAAAAGAAATTTTGTGGTGTTCTCAAATGCATTTGTTCTTTTTCTATTCAGGGATGGAATTTTGGGTAGTTAACAAACGCCTTAAAATGCTCAGAATCAATTTCGGGCACAGAATCAAAAAGAATCATTTCTGAGCAGAATCTATTCCCGAGCACAGAATCGTTGTCATGCGCGGTCTAACTCTCCAAGTTAGCGATGAAGTGGTCGAACTTTATGCAGTCTACAGTGCAGACGTGTAGTCCACGTGGCATCCAATCAGGCGTGGGATGACAACTGGTGGTGGTGGATTAAGGGGCTCTGAAGTCAATGGAGTTGGGAGACCGCGATAATAATTAAAACCTGCTATCACGGTCAAACGCTTCGAGAAACGGTGACTTGGGACCTGCTATTCCGGTGACAAGTCACCGTCCGACCGTAACTTCTATGGACCGGAGCCGAGGTGCTCACACTTTGCCAGATGGCGCCGTGCATCGATCACGGCCGCACGGGCAAAACAAATGCATGTACGCCATAGGATCATGCGAATTTCACGTAAGCCCTCTCATCTCGGTGCATGTAAATTGGGCTCGTAAAATTCAAGTCGGGCTTCTTTTGCGCGTGGATTTGCGAGGGACAGAAGATTGAATGGATTGACTTCCAAGCAACAGCTGCAACCAACCATGCCGGGACAAGGCAAATCTGCCACCTCCTCACGACGTTGACTCCTGATGATAAGAGGAAAAGGTAACTTGGCATAATCCAGCCATACCGCACAGCCACGAACGCAAGACATAAAAATTTAACGGAGACGATATAAGTTCGAGGAGGACGAGACAAAAATAAATAAATAATGCATATGCACGTTATATTAATAAACGCCCTTACCCATCTAACGCGGTAGAGGCGCGACGGCCATCGGTAGCCCCTCTCGAGCTCACCCGCCCAATGTCACGCGCTAATTACCCGTGATGGGGTTACGTCGACGAGAATTATCGCGCGTGTTGTGCAATTGACTCGTTACATCACGCGATCAACGAATTCTAAGATCCGTCAAACGGGTTGATCGGGTCATGAATGGTCCGATCCAAATTGACTCATTAACCCGTTCATGACCCATTTATCCGTGATGCAAATTCCTCGTCCCACGCCCGACCCGATCCCGTGTTGGAAATTGGATCATGTGCATAATCTATCATGGGGCGGGTTGAATAATCACATTGTAACCGTGTGGCCCGATCGAGGGACGGTGGGAACGACACTCGGACACGCAAGTTGGAAATGGGAGACGCAAAGGTGGTTGGTTCGCGTTCGTTGTCGTGGAATCGCGCACACGAAAGCTCTGCACCTCCCGCTTCCTTCCTTCTTCCGCAACTAACCCCCACCACCCACGTCCCCACCCACCTGCGCCCTACCGTCACCCGCCGGTGACCGTTCCCCCCTCACCCTTCACCCCACTTCCGCAGGCACTTTCTGGTCCTTATTTTCCCCAATTTTTTCCGTACCATGCTGTGCTTATGGAATGATTAATTGAATCTCGGTTAAGTCCACACCAGTACTACATACCGGGAGTCGCCTTTGAATACTTGATGTTGGTTATCGAGGGCACCTCACCAAAACAGGAGAAGTCTAAGCTTCTAAATGGTGCTTAATATACATATGGCGGGCTGATAGAACTGCGTCCCTTATTTAACATGTTGATGCCCGCACATCCAGCCTCTCATTTGGAGTAAAAAATTTTCTTTCCTCTCTTTAGAGAATATCCCGTGTTTAACGTCCCAAAGTTCAGACGAAACATTCTATAGAAGTCCCACATGAGTCCTGAGCTCCGGAAAAATACCGGGTTTGGTTTTGGAAGTATTTGACCCATCTAAATTTTAAGGCGAAAAACAAACCAATTAACTGGTGCGAAGTGGGTCGACGAAAGCGACAGCCAGTTGAGCGGACAGAGACGGCGTGTTTCGGCAACACCGAGAAAAATGCCGAAGAAATCATCAAGAGAATCTTGTTCGCGCATATGTTTGGACGGAGCAAGTGAGTAGAGACGACGATAACGGACGACTCATCATCGAGGCTTGTTTCCCAATGACTTTAGTGAAAAGCCAAGGCAATCAAAAGTTGACTGGGTTCCTGATTAAGGCGCGATTAAGAAAGAGATGTTCGACTTGGTTTAGCGTGAGAACCATTTGTGTGTCCAAGGGAACAACAGGTCTTTGCTAATGCTTAGCTGTCCCGCGCCTTTCCAACGGGAGAACAAGGACTGTCGACTCAAGTAGTTGAGGGGATATCCTTATTCTCAGCTTCCAAAGTACATTGGAACAAGCAAAAGGTGCTAACTAATCCTTCTTCCTTTTTTTAAAAAAAAAAAATTAAGGTGGATAGGCTCGTAAGGTATCATTGCACATGTTGCGTACGACCCATATTCTTGTAGATCTTATCTCGGTAAATCCGGCGCGATTTGATTTCGAGAAAACTACGTCAATCGGGGTCTCATAATGGTTCAGAAAAATGCTAAAATGTATTAGAAACCTTTGTTAGATAATTAATTTACCGGTGGCGATGACAGGTGTTTACAAAAATGGCGATATTATTTCCGCACAAAAACAGCACAAGGTTTTTTCTTTTTTTTTTTAAAACATCGGATTAACTCTAGATATGTTTATTTAAGGAGCAATGTTTTTGGTAAGAGTCATGGAACTTCTCTTGATACAAATTGAGATGATTGATCTTCAGCATTCCATGCACCATCCCTAATGTTCTAATGACATACTTTTCGTATGAAATCATGACCAGCATTGCGTGCTGTAATTATGTGTCTTAAAGTTTGTAAAACCTTAATAAAGCAGTGTATTCATAAGGTGGTCCATATGGGCACACTGGTCCAAGTTGCTGGTACATGATGGCATCATTAAAGGAGCAAAAGTGAGAAGGCAGAGAAAAGAAGAAGAAAAATAATAATAATAATAATAAGTAAAGAAGGGAGAGAACCGTTAGGTAGTAAAAAAATATTGATTTTAATTTGTTGAATTTTAGCCTTTTTCACCTCATTGCCTATGGGAGATTTGAATGAACTGCCCTAGGAGAGATTATGCATATTTGATGAGACTTGCTAGTTAATGAGAAACCATGTTGATGGATCCGAGCATTCCCTAATTTATAAGATTAAGGCCACAAAACACCATAAATTATGTTCACCGTGATATCGATACCTCAAACTTTCATTTTGTGCCGTCTTCTTAAATTGTGCGTACCGTGACATCAAAAGTTCAAACTTTTTTTTCATGTCACTAAACCTCTTAAACTATGTTCACTATAATATCAATGCTCCAAAATTTCGCTGTACCGGTACAAGTTTGGGATATTGGTAATAGGAAAAAAAAAATTGGTTACTGAGCGTGGGCAACGTTCTCTTTTTCTTTTTTTTTTGTCATACAGTGGGTAACTTTTAGGATGTTTTTTGTGGTAGATAACTGTGGTTAGCGGTGGTGGAGGAACTAGATTTGAAAAAAGAGAGATTCTAGTAGTAAGATATCTAATTAAATCGTGACTGAAGTTGAAATCTCGTTCAAAGATAAATATATCAGATATCAAAATATATTATACGGGATGATCGATTTGTAAGGACCATGATTTGGATTTCAGGTAGTATTCGTATGACACCGGTACAAGTTTTGTGGTTTTGGTAATGCATCAAAACGTTTGGAGTATTGATATCACGGTAGGCATAATTTATGATTTTTGGCAATATTTTCCCTAATTTATACGTGAAATCTTGCTCGCACCTCTATTATTGGGGGGGGGGGGAATTATATAAACTAAATTTCGGTGTCCGGCCAAAAAAACAAAACCTAAATTTCGGTGGGGGAATATAATAAATTATACAAAACACACCGCGTGAGAATCCCCCGCCCCCACTAAATCCCCCTCCCTCCAAATGTAACGCAACCCCACCAACGAAAAATAGACAAAAAAAAAAGACAAGAATCCGCGTGTTCTTGTCATTTCACGGCTAAATCCGCGGAGGGCGTTATGGTAAAATTCCGTCCAACTCCCCCACCACCCCGCGTCCCCGTCCGTCACCGTACGGCGGTCCAAAGCCTATAAAAACTCCCCGCGTCACCCGCCGGTGACCATAGCAAAAGCCCTCCCCCGCTCGCCGCCTCGCCCTCATCTTCGTCGTCGTCGTCGTAGTTTAACGGCTAAACCACCATAAATACAAAACAAAAGCGGTGCAGATCCTCCTCCGCCGAAGCTCCTCCTTCCTCCGCCGTATCTTCCTCCCTCCCTCCCGCCGCACTCTCGCCGCCTCGTCGATCGTTCCTCCGCTTGCCTTCCCCTTCGAAGCCGCTCCTCGCCGCTCGATTCCTCCTCCTCCTCCGTCTCCTCCTCCGTCTACTCCTCCTTCTCCTGCTTCGCGCGGCGAGATCGCTGAGCGTATATAGTCGTGGGGAGCTCTCCGTATCCGAGGCACAGCAACCGGTGGTTTGGTATTTGGATCGGATTCGGTTGCGATTCGAGCCATGTCCGGCCGAGATCTCGAGCGAGGCCCCGGGAAGGGCCCCGCCGCGGGCGGCGGCGGTTATCCTCCCAGCGCGGGCTACAACCAGACGGCGTACTACCCGAATCGCCGCGGCGACTCCGACAGCCAGTGGACGTCGTGGCTTGTCCCGGTGATCGTCGTCGCCAACGTGGCGGTGTTCATCGTGGCGATGTACGTGAACGATTGCCCGCGGAACAACCCCGGGTTCGAGGGCGGCTGCGTCGCCAGGTTCCTCGGGAGGCTCTCGTTCCAGCCGCTCAAGGAGAATCCCCTCTTCGGCCCTTCTTCCAATACGTGAGTTCGATTTTTGCGCTTCTTCGTGTGATTTTGTATTTCTCGTTGCTGTGCGACTACTCCTGGCGGTTGGGGAGCTCGTGTTCAGCTCGGAATTGAGAAAATCCCGAGCATTGGACTTGTTGCTTGATAAACAGCCTGTCCCGGTGCAGAAATGTGTGCTCCAGTGTGTGTTCCACTTGATCTGTGAAATTCGACAGGCTGGTCTAATGGAACTAAGAACAAGGAATTCTATTGACAATTATGCCTTTTTTTTTGTGTTTATTGGTTTTGGTTTGTTTCAGCGAATTTGATTAGCTATTGTGGGATCATAAGTATGGCTAAGTCTTCTTGTGCTGAACTAGATGGTTCTCGAAACTATGTCTTGTTGAATTTGAGTTCCAGCTCGGGGAAATTTTTTGGTTTTTGAGTTTGTCTTGAAGCTGCTCATATGGAAAATTTGCTGGCTTCCCCCTTTTGAAGGAGTTGACGTGTCTTAATCATGGAGAATTTGTGGTTCCATCTCGTGAACATGGTAAATTATACTATTGGATATCGCTATTGTCTGTATATGTTAATAAATAAATAGATGAATGCAGATATTGGCCAAAGAAAAAGAGATGAATGCAGCTGCGTGTTGATCTGCATTGGCGTTTTGATTCCTCCTGCTTTTTTTGTTTGCATAGTCTATAATTTTAGATTTGAGTTCTCCAAAGTTTCTCATGTTGCGTTTAGTCAAGGCAAATCTTGAAGCATTCCTTATGCAAGGTATTGTCTTTATGTTTGTCCTATTCTTTGTGTTTGAGCTGGGAGGTTTTGTAATGTTGTGAAGCGTCATTTTCTAACAGCTAATTTGTAGTTTTCAATTGACTTAAATTGTCAGGAATAAAGCAAATCGATTGGCGGGACAATCTTGTTTCTTTTTATATGACATGGTTCTTGTTTGATCGTAAATTCTATTTGCATAAAATAATGTTTATGTTCTCTGTTCTTTATAAGTTCTGATGTTTCACAAAGTTGGCCCCTTGACTTTTTCTGAAGGTCTTTTCCTTCGGCCTTTTCAATGAACAAAATGTTCATATGAAGTTTTGTCTGGATTTAAGATGTACTGGTTTCTTTTCTTTTTAGGAGTATCGTTGGGCTGAAAAATTTTCCAGGTTAACATCCAATTTTCTGTCTGACCCTGTTTTATGTCAAAAAACTTCGACTCGGTGCACAATTAAATATGAGAAATTTCATTCACAAAATCTCAGATGATGGAGTACCACTGTTGCTTCTTGAAACCTTTTCATACGTTCAATTAGGCTTTACTGAGCTGATGAAGGACGAGGAGTCCCACAGTATTTTACGACTTTAGTTTAAATGGCTAGAAGTAATTGAGTGACATCTTTAACAGAAACTTAGCAGCATTACTTTCCATCACTAACTAAGCTAACGGATGTAGACATCTTTATAATTTACTGGAGAATCTTTATGGCGATATGGGATCGCTGATGAACTTCATCTTGGTTTATTATAGATTGCAGAAGATGGGAGGTTTGGTGTGGTACAATGTTGTACATGGAAACCAAGGTTGGAGACTTGCCACATGTATGTGGTTGCATGCCGGTGTCATTCATCTGCTTGCAAACATGTTGAGCTTGGTCTTCATTGGAATTCGCCTTGAACAGCAATTTGGCTTCGGTATGTCAACTGCCCATATCACATAATAAGGTCTCAAAGCTGCTCTATAGCAATATTCTGTATGGTGTTTCATTCCATTGCCTGTTGATTAAGGAAGTCTTCTACTAGATGAGTTTCACCACCGTGGACTCTAATTGACATTGCTCTCCTGTGGTTACCCCTGCAGGGAGAGTTGGAGCAATCTATCTAATATCAGGATTTGGTGGTAGCATTCTGTCCTCCCTTTTTATTCAGAACAATATCTCTGTCGGTGCTTCTGGCGCTGTCTTTGGGCTTTTGGGAGCGATGTTGTCAGAGCTTCTAACTAACTGGACCATCTATACCAATAAGGTCTGATGCTCTCTCCATGTCACTGTTTATTCCCCCAACCCAAATACCTCAACCTAACAAGAAATAAAGAAGAACAAAATGGATGTTCACTTCTTCATGCATCATGATTTATGCCTGCTAATGTAGGTTAAAGCGCCATATTAATTACTAATGAGACACACCCGTAGATCTCGATTTTGATTCTTTAAATTTGTTCCTTAGCCGTTCCAATAACATGACTAGAGAATGGCAAAATCCTAACGCCAAATAATTTTTTTGAGGTTGGAATTGAAGATTTTTGGGGCAGCTCTCATTAGCCTATGACTACTCTAGCTTTTTAAGTTTCACCGAATCTAAGGAAAGTAAATGCTTTGACCATGGTGTTTATAGTGTGTTCAACATGTATTGAACACCGTCGGTAGGCAAATTTTTTTCATAAGCAACCTTCTTTATCTCATGCAGGCTGCAGCTCTTTTCACATTGATATTCATCGTAGCCATTAATCTAGCAGTCGGGATTCTCCCTCACGTGGACAACTTTGCCCATATTGGAGGATTCTTGACAGGATTCCTCCTTGGTTTTGTTTTGCTCGTCCGGCCCCAGTTTGGCTGGGTGGAGCGTCGCTATCGTCCTGCCGATGCTCGTGTCAAATCGAAGCACATGGGCTACCAATATGCCCTCTGGTTGATTGCCTTGGTCTTGTTGATAGTTGGGTAAGCTCTTTATCCTGGACAAGATTAACGCATGCATCGATGGACCAAGATCTTTTCTCTTTGCATCATTTGCATGAATAGGACATTTTACCTTATCTTACTAGTGTCATCAATTTCTCTCTTAGACCCTTGACATTGCCTGGAACGGTGTGTCTCGAATGCTTTGCTTGCTAATGGATTTATGAGTGTACCTATGGACTCTCGGTGAGTTGCATGCCGTGAAAGATTGACCTGAGCTTCTTCTCTTAACCGCTGCAGATTTGTGGTGGGGTTGATCATGCTTTTCAGAGGCGAGAATGCAAATGACCACTGCAGCTGGTGTCACTACCTCAGCTGCGTCCCGACTTCGAGATGGAAGTGTAATAACTGAGAAAAGTCCGAGAGTTCTGTATCTCATATGCTCGTGTTCATTGGTACATTTGATTTTCTTTGCATGTCATAACTAGTTCTTTCATTTGTTTATTGCGTGACATCCCTTACCGCTTGTGTAAATCTGTAGCTTCAGACACCTCTTCGTTATTTTGCCCGTCAATTTATAGAAATACAGTATACCCAGGTCTCTCTCTCTCTCTCTCGAACGAATTGCCTCCACTTGGATTTGCAATAAGGCAATGTGTGAAACATGCAGAAAACAGCATTTCCACGACGGTTTGTTTTGTTTGTTCGCGCCTGTTGTCATGCCACAAGCAAATGAAGAGGGCACTGTTTAAGGAATGCACTCGGGTGCGGTAAAAGAAAGTTGCGTAATTCCTATTAAAAGTGATATCTTCCTTGACAATTGTGGATTCCTAATACTTGGTAGAACAAATGTAGCAGAGTCGCGGAAGTTAGATTAAAAAACCGTGCAAACTAAACTAGAAGCTCTCTAGAGCAATGATGACCCTGTCGGATAACCGATATAACACAGGCTTCGGTTAGATATGAAGACCTACCCTAATGGTGACTACTTCAATTCTAAGATAGTTTGATACATGCCAGCAACGAAAAGACCGTGCCCGTCACCTCTAATATCTATATCCGTACCCGTCGCCTCTAACTGGCATCCCAAGCCTGTCCAAGCGACCGGACCCTGGATATGCTTTGTTCGCGAAACTCGAGTGCAAGGACAAGACCTTCTGTGAGATGGACCTCGATTCGCCGAAACCGTGTATAGAATGCCTCTTCGCAGAACTAGATTTCTCGAAGTGAGGCCGCTGTTTAGGGGCGCTCATTGACCTGACCTTGGCCTTCGAAGATTCGGTGTAAGCCATGTAGTTGGGGTGGTCTGAGTAGCCGCTTAAGTAGCTTCTCGAGCCATCGCTCTTGGTGGGAGTGAACGGGCTTCTCCTAGAACTACCGCCCCTAGAAGACGCCGAATAGAATTGGGGGCTGTTATCGGCAGTGCAGAATGCGCCTTCCTCCACCTCATGAGAGAAATCCACCGGGCTTGGAGATTGCACCTCACACGAAGAGGGGCTAGGAACCGTTTGGCGCGCCGTCGAGTCTTTTGAAGTGGTGTAGCTATGACTCGCTTGGTCTGAAGGCAACGCGTGCCGAGACGACTGTACAAGACTTCGGCGCTTGGGTGTGAAGGAGGGTTTCCCTGGATCAATTTCTAGGATCTTATCACTTTTCTCATCATCCGCATGCCCACTGTTCGCTGAAAGTCCCCGTTGATCCCCCAGTCTCTCATCGACCCGACGCTCCGACCAATTGCGGCCCAAGGGTGCTCTTTCTTGAAATCCAACAATCCTGCCACTTGCTCTGGAACCATTCCTCTGCATTTATTGGGATCAAATTAGTAAAGGCGTCAAAGACAAACAAGCACTAAGAGTGTTTCAAAGCAAAGGGGGGTTCAAGCAAATTAAAGGTTCGTTCCTTCAGGACAAACTAGTCCTCGAGCTTTCCTGGGATTTTAAGCGATACATTTACTTTTATAAAGAACACAATAAACGTATAGCACGCAACACTTAGTTAAGGGCCGAGGCATACCCGGAGAACCGGTGACTGATCCTGTCTTGAACTCTTGCTTCGAACCACATACTCTGATTTTTCAGGAGTAGCGGGACCCTGTAATGAGGTTGTTGTCATGAATAGTTTAAAATGTAGCTCTCGAAGGTCCACTTGTTCTCGTACATAAAGAACTTGCCAAAAGCTAAGCATAAGATCATCAATACAAGCGATGCAAACAAATAAAAAATCGCTGGTCCAGAGGAAGACGCAACAAATGTATAAGAAAAAGGGATAAGTGGAGGTATTACAGGGTGGTGAAAGTGAGAGGACTTGCTGCTTGATTGTGAAGATTCAGACACCTGGGCCCTCTCGGCACGTGCCCGAGCCTGGGCTCGCAACACGGCTTGCATTTTGCGCACCAATTGAGCAGTTCGCTTCCTCTCGATGTGCCCTCTCACCAGTGCTTGAATCTTGACCAGTCCCTTTAATGCTCGCAGCGCTCGCCTTGCCTGCCCAACCCAAAGAAGCAGGAGAAGAAAGATTCAATGTACAATAATCTTTTATAAATTACAGAGGGACCCATCTTGATTAAGAAAGAAAATTGTGAGTTTTCACAGCTATAGGTAAAGGTAGCAAAATGGGAATAAAAAGGCAATTCCTCCAGCTCGCTTGAATTTAAAAAACACATCGCCATAACAAGAAAAGGCACCGTCACAGATTATTCGAAACCGCACTCATGTGCAGTAAGTAGATAAGATGGGGTCTGTACGGCAAGGTTCACTTAGTGAGATAGTACTTGCCATGCTTGGGACTAACATAGTGACTTAATTAAATGAGCTGAGCACCTCGTTAGACGATAACATGTACGAAAGCTTTTGATGAGAGAACCAAGTGGGTTTCAATGAGGCACCAGGCCGACGCAACGCTACCACCGAGCAAAAATCAGCCTTGAGCACGTGAGCACAGTTCGGCCCAGGCTAGCGTTTTAACTTTCCTAAAGTACAATTATCTGAGCACAAATCGGTATCCAAAGTACAGCCATTGACAATAGACGTGGCACCGGCACTGGCTAAAAGTGGGTCATGCAGAATAGTGTATGAAGCGTGACACGGGTCATGCTATGCCAGGTAATATCATTCGCAAGTGGTAAATTCATATTGATTTTGCGATTATTGAAAACTTCTAAATGGATTTTGTTGACTCGTGAAGTAAATATATAATTTCCAATATTCTACTTTTTCTCGTGTAATCATGTTACGTGAATTGAATATTTGAAAGAACGGTACATGACATGATACCTAGAAAATGCAAACATTCAACAGTCTTAACATAAACATGTAAATACGTCACAGGGTAGCTACTTTTCCATCCTGCACGAGAACTGCATTTACCATTCCTTGACTTTAAATCGAGATGGGCTTTCCAAAATGGCGCCAAGGGGAAGCAAGTGCACACATCAACATGCGAAAATGAAAGGGAACAGGCGCCATAAAGAGACGAGTTTTCACCCACTCCGCACCCCACCACCTACTTGAAGTTGAAAAAGAAAAACAAGGGTGAGAAGAAGAAGAAAAAGCCTGACATTGCATCGAGAAGACAAAGACGTTTCGCTAGCCGCCCTACAAAAGGCAAAAGAGACTTGGTTCACGAGTCCGTGACCATGATTACCACAACAAAAACTCGTAAAAGTAACCATCTAATCCAACTTTCATCGCCAAAAAGCACATAAACCCACTTAAGGAAATCAGCACCGAGCCCCATCTCCAGAACTTGTGGGGTCAAGGGCCACCCACTCAATATAATCCCGCAAAAAAAAAAGTTCAAAGAAACCAGACCAAGAGTTGACCTACCTTCCCAAGTCTATCCGACCAGCCACCTACTTCGATTTGAATTAGTAGTCCGCACTTACTCGTTTGTCAATGATACGAAAAGAAGTTGATGTGCATGCAATTGCAAGTCTGTTTCTGAATTGCCAAAGTCGTTCACCGTCAAGATTCAATCACTTTAACAAGTAATTTTAGCACAGAGATTCATACGATTCCATTAGCTGGTCGAAATTGCAAAACAGAGACCTCCATAAAGCAAAAGACCAATTACCCATCGACCACGTACGGTTGGCAACCACACGGAACAGAGTGAAACCCATATCTCTCACCCAACGAACGGGAAAGGCCAGGCAACGAGCCTCTACCCACCAGAAGTAGACAAGTGCTCATTATAGGAAAACGATACAGATAAACCCCAGAAGAGGAGGAAGGGCAGGCGACGCAACCGCAAACAAACAAAGAGTAGAGTAGAGTGGGGGAACGCGAAGCACCGAATCCTCTTTCTCTCCCGATTAAATAGCGAAAACGCCATCTCGTGTCGCACGTGACGGGAATTTCTTTTTGTACAAGGCCCACACGGCTTCTTCTTCTTCTTCATCATCATCGTCGTCGTCTTTATGGGATATGCACATCAGATTCTATTTCGGTGAATCTCGGAATCGAAGAAATGGAAACGGTAGCGAAGAGTTTCGGCATCGCTGTTGCATAGCGAGCTTTTCTCAGTAAAACGACAGGAAAGAACAACTCGGACGAAACCGACGGGCGAGAGAGAGCGAAACAAAACGACAGCGTCCTGATAACGGATAGTTCCCTCGCAGGAAAGAGAGGATGAAAAAGGAAGATCACGAGTCGCCTAAACTGTAGGTAGACGAAGGATCGCGCCTCCTTCGTCGGAGATTCTGTTTATCTTATGCTGAAAATCCGAATGCATTCGACTCCATGAACTTCCGCTGAAATTCGATTTTTCATCTTGTGATTGATTCTGCAAACGAGGGACCACGGAGGGACCACGGAGGGTCGGATTTAGCTTTAGCAACTGCAGAAGAAGAGCAGCAGCAGCAGCAGCGAGGGAATCAAACCAGAAAAAAGCGGAAGGAATCTTCAATTTGACAGATGGAAGAAGATGCTCCTGCCGAGAAACAATCATGGAGTGCGAAGTCACCGAGGCTGGAGCAGCTATTAGAATCAATCTCTAGGAGCTCGTGAAGAAATCTAATTGCAAGTAGTTTCACGACGACGGGGCGAGGAAGAAGAAGACAAATGCGGACACGTGGCGTCGCCCGGCCGCTCGCTCGCTCGCTCGCTCGCTCCATCTCGAAGCTAATCCCCGTAACGCCTCACCGAAATCGATACTGAAAACTTCGTGCAGGATGAGAAATAAACGGGGTCAATACGATCGGAGGACTCACCAGATAGCCTCGGAATGCCGACTGGATCTTGAGCACCGCGACCTCCTCCCTGACCGCCGCACAACTCCCGCCGCCGCCGGCGCAGCCGCCGTCTGCGCACCTCCCGCTGCTCGTCAGCCGCACCACCTCCGCCGCGGCGCGCGCGGCCATGACCGCCGCCTCCGCGGCCGCCGCGCTGGCCGCCGCGACGGCGATGGCGCGCTTGTTCGGATCCGCGGCGAGCTCCTCCGAGCGCGCCGCGGCCGCCGAGGCGGAAGCGGAGGAGGAGTACGAGCCGTAGCGCTGATGGCGGTGGCCGCCGTCCCTGTCCCGGTGCGACTTGACGAAGCTCCAACGCCGCTTCTCCCGGCCGGGGGCAGCATGAGGAGGCGGCGGCGGCGGAGGCTGCTTCGCCGGCGGCGGAGGATGGGGCGAGTCGGTCTTCCTGAGGCCCAGGAGGCTGCGGAACCACTTGGAGGCCTTGCCCATGGCGGCGGATGGCGGCGGCTCAGCCGAGCGAGCTCGGGCCGGCGTGTCGGTGGCGGCGCGAGTGGAAGCGATGGAAACTCGAGCTTTGGCTATGGCTATGGCTATGGCTATGGCGATGGAGTTGCATTTGCGCAGAGAGAGAGAGAGTGAGTGAGAGAGTGGGAGTGTGACTTTTATACGGTGGAGATAGTTGACGAGGGGAAGAAATGGTGGACCCCGCGGGGGTGGGGGGGGTTGTGAATGTGTGATCGCGCGTGGAAGCGACTCGCCCGCCACCGCCCAAATTTCGCACGGAAAAAAAAAAATTTTGACATGAACGGTCTCTAAACTTTGGCCGGATGCTCAGTCCGATTCCCGAATTTTTTATCTGTTCAATGAGATCCGTAAAATTAAGTTCAATGTGCATTGCGATCTCTAAACTTTTAATTCGCTCGACGTGATTCCTGAACTTTTACTACGTGTTCAATTTAATCCATGAACTAATAACAACGGTCTCTGAAATTTTTTATTTGTTCAATGTGATCTATGAACTTTTGGTACGTGTTAAATTCAGTCCATGAACTATATAAAAATATTTATAGTCCATGAATTAAATTGAATAAATACTAAAAGTCCAAAGATCACATTGCATGTTAGGCTTAAGGTCATGAACCACGCTAAATAAATTAAAAGTCGAGGGTCAATAATAGACATCTTATCAAAGTTCATTGATCATTTTTATCAAAGTTTTTCAATACTAAATAACACCCCTAAAGAGCTTCCGAAGCAGATTAGCATAAAAAGTAAATTTCAAAACTCGAGATCAAAGCAGGAAAAGTGTTCCAGGTACTCCCGTCACGCTTGACACATCTATCCTTCCGAAAACCGTCGCTGAACGCTCGATCTTCTATCGCCGTCCACAGTTCGCCCGTCGCGTATTTTACCTAACGAGACGTTCCGTGGCCCGCGTAACGAGTATCGACGGGCGATCCTCGTGAAATGTGTACGGCCGTTATTGATTAAGGGGGTCAGTCAATCAGTCAATTACGTGTGAAATGGTGGGCTGGTTCTTCTGGGGCGCGCGAAAGGGATTGGAGACGGATGGCCCCGGATGATGACCCGGTTTTAGTTGGTGGGGATTAGCGACCAACGGAATTGACGCATTTAATTAGTCAATTTAGAAAGTCGCGAACTCCAATTTAAGCCGGGCCTATATACATACCCTCCACCTGCACCCCCCCCCCCGGGCTTGACTCTTTCTTTGTGACAGCCGTTCTGTATTTTTTATTTATTCTTCTTCTTCTTCTTCTTTTTGTACACATTTTCTGGTCTTTCATTTTCTTTTTTCAAATCGCGATGTAATGCCGGTAGCAGCTGAATCGTCATCGCTGGATTATTATTATTATTATTTTTTTTTTATAGGACGTTGCTAGGGAAACGGCACCGTTGTTCACAGGGAATAGCGGCACCTTGTGCGCCGCAAATTTGCCGTTCAACGGGACCGAGCCACCGTAAGATTTATTCACGCTTTAAGTTGTGTAAACCAGGTGTTCGAGTTTTAATTTAGACAACCGTACTCATTTTTGTTAGAGGAGATATTTACTTCCAAGACTACATGTGTGGAAATGTTTTACAATAGAGATGGTGATGTTAATAAATATGCTACATTCATTTTGCCTTATAATGAATATGCTTAACCGTTGTTCTTATATTGAATGTAAAGATGATCCTTTCACTAATGTTTTTTTTTTCCTTTTTACTTTTTAGTTTGATTTATTGGCTTTTTAAATCTAAAGAACACCCCCGCTTGGTGGTACCCACGAAATGAAATTCACAGTTTTCACAGGGAGATCGAACGAGCAATTTGTCCGGTTTCTTCGAGAAAGCTTGGGACGGGGACCGTGCTATCGCCCTCTCATTTTCCATTTTTTGTAATGTCGCGAGACAAACGAGCAATTTTGACAAGTTCATCGTCGTCGACAACAATGGTAATGCAATAATGCATACTAGAAAAATACAATAATGCTTAAAAGGACGATCAAATCAGATCAAATCAAATCTCTTGATAAAACATGTATTGCTTTGATATACTTATTTTTTTCATTTTCATCTTTGTCTTTAACCACGTGAATTTACTTTGATGATTGTCGATTTGGAGATCTCGAACGAATTTACCGATCCAAATCAGCATTTACGAACCCTCTTGATTACCGAACGAGTCCGCGTGTACCTCGGAATGAAATCAATAGTCGAAAATTGGATTTGACTTCTTTGCGTCGTCACTAGACCTGTCAAAATGGGCCATATATCCATTTCTTAACCTATATTTGATGGATTTGGTTGTCATATGAGTTCATTATATTCAGTATATATGTCACACGTATTTAGAATAGTAAAACTCAAAATAATGCGAGTGTTAAATGAGTTCATAACTTACTTAAACCAATCCGCCTTTATAACTCTCTCTTCACTCGATCTCGATCTCGCATTCGTTGATTCCGTGCTCTCACCTAAGTTTGGATATAAATTTTCTTGAAGTAGGTTAAACACGAAAGTGTTTTAGTAATATGGATCGGGACATTGATTAGGTATGAGTTGAGCTTGATACGAGTAACTAAATTTATATTACATAGAAATCGATCAAAACGAATTAAGTGGATCAATTTGGATCGGATTCGATCCGATCCTACCCATCTATCTGTCAGATCGACTGGTCGATCGAGTGACTGCAGCCCGAAAATGAAAATGCCTTACGAGTCCAAATTATGCAAATTGAAAAAGGGGGGCGGGTCACCACATTGGTGCAGAGAGGGATGATCTGATGGACAGCGATGGCTCACCATCCGACCAATGCGTTGCGGTGACCGTTCGATGCTCGCGATTTGCTCTCCACGACATTCGATCCATTGAATGCATGCTGAGCGCTCAATGGATCGTCAATGGATCGGCCCCCACCAAACGGGGATGATAAGTTAGTTGCCAGCTAGGAGGACCAGCTTTCAATTTATTATTTTGGATTTTGTACAATAATTTTTAAGAAATAAGTGTTGGAAATTTAAATATAATTTTTTTTTCTGTTTTTGTTAGGAAGGAATTTTCTTATTGCGCACGAAAAAGAGGCACGTAACTTCAAGATAAATATGCAAATCCCACAAAAAATAAGTAAATCTGAAAAAATAAATCAACTTGGTACAAGCTTAAGCGTTAAAAACAAAATCAAGAGTTTGTTGTTGATAATTGAAATCAATAGCTGAATATTATTAACTTATACCGAAGATAGGGCGATGTTCATTAATGGAAGGATTTAGCGATATATTTGGCAATATGCGAATTGCTATCGATTTTTTTATTATTATGAATTGAGTAATCCATCTCTTACTTATCGTGTCAAGTGGAATTTTGACGAAGCTGATATAAATTAAGGCTATCGAACAAATCTACTCATTGGGTGGTGCGGAATTTTTAGTCTTTAGCACTTAGATTGGTCATTTAACAAACCTAACTTGGTGCACTATGGATAGCCAAAAAAACTCAAATCAAGTATCTAGTTCAAGAAAAGTTGCACGGGGGAACCTAAACATTTCGTCCAATGTGCAATCAAATCATCCTAGTGAGCTGGTCCCACATGGCGTTTTTCAATGTTTTTTTAGCTGATGTGGTATCGCGTCGGAAAAAAGTGAATCAAATACAGCAAAACAGCAAATCGATTCAAAAAAAGAAACGAGGGAGAGAGAGAGAGAGAGTAGTGTTTGTTTGAAAATTGGGGCGGTATTTCTTTTTTTTTTATACGATGTACCGTGTTAGCAAAATGAATTAAACGGTTATCGAGAGGCCGTCAATATCAAAACACTTAGGTTTAGATTGCACGTTTTCCAAAATTTAAAACTCGATTGCACGTTGAACACATCGTTTAATACCGTTCACTGCAATTTTTTATGTATTGGATTTGATGACATTACCAGATGACATGTGCTTCTCGATCCCAACCAACTTTATGTATGAACTTGAAAAATCATTATGTGCGATTGGCTTGGTACTTCACATGTGTCTACGACGTGATGAGACACGTCTAATGGACAAAATGTCTTCTCCATGAATTGTGGTGCTGCGGAAGACGACGAACACACTTTTGGTCATAAAGTGGAGGGTGTGACTCAAAAGCACGTGATGCCGTAAAATAGGAATTTCGTCAAACTTCTATCGTGATTCCTTTGATTTATCATCTAAATTCATGTATTAATAAGGAAGATTTTACGCGACATGAAACCAAAGAATATACTAGTGTCATATTCCGAGATTATTGCAAACCATTTTAAAAGTTTAAACTATCGAATGAATATGTGGTTTAATAATAAAATACTGTAGCACTCTCTCTCTCGTACGTAAGCTGGGATTTGGCTTAAGACTAAACCATAAAAAATATATAATCTAGGAGGTAGATAAGGAGCCCGAAAAAGATTTAAACTAAGAACTTTTTTGAAGTCATATAAAATTTCGTAAGACTATTGTCAATTATATAACAAAAGGTTGATACTACGAAAAGCCCCAAACTTACGCCCGTGATAAATTTGGCCCAAATTAATTTTTTGACCATGAAAACCCAAAATTAGTACATTTGTGATAAATTTGCCAAAAACTAATTTTTTGACCATAAAAAACTCCAGATTGATACACTTGTGACAAATTTACTTTATGTTAAATTAGATTAATATCACGAAAAATCTCAAATTTATCAAAGTCATATTATATTAGGATTTTTCGTGCTATTAACCCTATTAAAAATTCAAGTTATCGTACGAACCCGCAATTTGACAATTGGATGTTGCAACACAGGCATTCTTCATTTATAGATGACCGGGCTGAAATTGGCAACCGACTTTCAAGTTTCGACAAAACTCGAGCGGAAATAAAGACGAGAACAGCTTCTTGGGAATCGAAATACATGTCATCCAATGATCTCATCCTGTGAGAATGTCATCTACATGGAAGAGAAAGCAAAAGTTACCTACCTCATGTCCCACGGCCACATAAGAAGACATGTCCCTACGTTCTCCACGTGGTTATGACTATATGAGGGCGGAGGCAATAATATTTATGACATCATCACCAAACAAATATTCATGTGAAAAATATAAAAGAGCGTTCTCGAGGTACTTGTTAATTCTAATTAATCGTGCTTTGAAAATATAAAGATTTCTTTCGAAATGTGTTACTGCGAAATTCTCAGAGTGTGTCGATACACGTCGTTTTTCTGTCTTCGATGCTCCTAAATTAATACCTTCGAGGCACTTATTCACCAAACTTTTTAGTGAAATGCACGAAACTCGAATCGAGTCGATATGGCTGTTATGTCCCTAGTGTGCGCCCGTGATGTCGAATTAAATTAAAAAAAAAAAAAAAAAAAAAAAAGGGAGGGGCGAAAGAGGCGAGCAAAGTAAATTTTACCATAGAAGAAGCGAGTAAATAATGCTCACTCACGAGAATGTTGAGAACCTCGTCCGTGATTTTTCCTTTTACCCCACGGTTAAAAAGGATCCCCCTATACTCTAGCGAGACGCTTAGGGGCAGGTATCCGAACCGACCAAACAGATGGCGACCGTCGGATCGTGGGCCCCACGTCTCTAGAGAGAGAAAACGGGGAGGATCGGACGGACTGAGCTTCCACGACACGCCCTACTGTAATCCCCCACTGCACCCACCTGCGCCGTAGGCTTCCAATCATAAGAGGCGAGCCCCACCACGTGATGGTTGGGGGGGGGGGGGGGACGGGACGAAGTAGAATCTTAGGCGATATCTTTTTCCCTCCTCCCCGTTGATTTTTCTTTCCTGTTCCATTTCCTGGGAAAACGGGAAAATTAATAAGTGGGCCGGAACGAGAATATCTTTGCGAAGATATCGTTTGCCATCACCTCCTTGCCGACACGTAATCCGAATTGGCACGTCGGTTCCCGATGCCACCGGGGCACGTATTTACCATTGTATCCTCGCGGAGATACATCTACATAGATTTCTGGCCAAAATTGATAAAACATCTGTGCTCGTAAAATAGCAGACATGGAGTGCAACCCCACTTGCCGACCAAAAGTAGCCCTGGTTACAAGATACTATGCAAAATAATCTCACGGCAAAAGCACAGAAAAAAAAAGAAATTGGAAAAGATAAATGTGGTGACCCTCCGATGTGTAATTAGAGATTCCAGCTAGCATTAAACCCTCCGGAATCGAATTTGCTTGTGATGCATGGCTATGGAGTTATGTTAGAAAGCTGAAACCAAAAACCCCAAGACTTGTAGATTGAAAAAAGGCCGCGTGTATGTAAAGAGCACGTAAACCCCGCCCGATAAGCGACGTAGGATACTTCAACTGCGAATATGTCTGTCCTCGAACGTGATTGGGATGGAAGCAAGTGTCGAGTCACTCTATAATTGGAAGGTTAGGAGATGTGGCACGTCGGTTAAAATTACGGCCCACCACTTTGTGAACGAGGGACTCTAGTCTCCTCTACATATATTTATTCAGTGAATTAATTTTACGAATTAGTCATGGTATTTTTCTAACAGTATCTTTAAATAGAGCAAAAATCACAAAAAACCTCAAACTATGCTAATAGTAAAATATTTATCCCAAACTTTGTTCTGCAACGCCAAAAATTTCAAACTCGTACGTGTACAACACATTTACCCTCCGTCAAAATTCTGTCAATGAGAACCGTTAAAAATCTGCCTATATGGACGCCGGAAAATAAATTATGTTGACATGATGCTCACGTAACTTAACGACGTTTTGGCTAAAAATCACCTAATGAAACCTAGATAGAGGGTGAATATGTCACGTTAGGTATAAATTTGGAGGTTTAACAATGTTGAGGGTAAATGTGTCACAATGAATATAGGTTGGATTTTTTATCCAAAAAAAATTTCAATGTGCCGTGCTCATCGTCCAAAAATGGGTCGTCAAGTCTCGGCCTCGGGAAGCAACGGACCCAAACGAAGGAAAAAAGGATTAGGTGGGGTTTTGACCCGAGAGGAGGAGGGCCCCCTACATTCCGGGTAAAAAAAAAAACAGAGAAATGCAACGTCACCGCGAGCTCCTGGCCTCCCAAATTAGGGCCCCCCCATGCGAAGAGAAAGGATTCCGATCTCTGGTGTGAAAACTGCGAGCCACGTTCCAAGGTCAAAGTTCGCTGCCCACCATCGATAGGTGCAGGGCAGGGGAGCAGTCAATGCTCGCTGCGGTGGCCTGTCAACACTTAAATCCAATTTCACCCCATCCCAAGAAGGATGCCCATGCCGATTTTGTTTCTCTCCCCGTACTTTGCTCGTACTTGGCGGATCCACACGCAAAAATTTTCTTGGGTCGTTTAACCGGTCAAATGCATGGGCAATAATAACTTTGGACTACAAGTCTCGCTCAAAGTTTAACTCGCTCAAAGACGAGTTATCGAACTGCGACCGAAAGTTGGTGAGATCTATCCTTTCTATCGAGCCACAAGTAATTTGAATATTTTGGCTTAGATTAATCTCATTGAATCACCAAGGTTACATCAGAAGGTAATAGCCGTGCTTCATGATTTCTATTGCTCTGATTATAAGAAGATATAAGAAATCGTTTACCTCTCTAAATTTCTGTATATCGTTCTTCATGCTTCCTCTGGAATTCCATGGGAGGAGTAACGAACGACCACTTCTGTAGTCAACATCACTAGAAAGTTGCTTAATTCTCGCAAACATAGTCCCAGAGCACCCTCTCTCTCTCTCTCTCTCTTACACACGCGCATAAAACAATGAAAATCTCAACTTAAAGAGAACTTCTATTCTTTCTGAAAAGATAAAGCCCCTCTTTATAACCTATCGAAGAAAATATATCGGGAGGAACGAGGCTGTCAACTGCCAACAGCGTCAAAGTTCTTAGAATCAGTCTACTCAAAGTCTGTAGCAACAAATGCATTGTGAATTCCCAGCCAAGATTGTGATTTCTATAGCATTCAACAATCAAGTGCAGTTCTCGATTATCACAAGACGGGGAAAGTCTCATCTCATCTTGGCATAGTTTTTGGATGAGAGTTCGCCTCTCAGTTCTTATGCACATGGATACTTTTACTCCACTTTCGTTTTAGGATGAAAGTAAAGAAGATAATGTGATTGATTGGAGCTATTCATCTACAGTTTGGATGACTATATGCACAAACAAAACTTTGGTTTCGAGTTGAATTACAACCTTAGCTACCTGGGTTCTTTCGGATGGAGGCAGCTGCACAGCTGCGGACTAGGCTTCTCATTCTCTGGAGGATCAACTCGAAAGAAGGTCGCTTATCCGGGGCACTGCTCATAATTTACGAAATGCCAAAGTCAAAACGAGCTTTAATTGTGTGCTGAGGAAATAATGACAGATACGACGATAAGGAAGCTAAAGGGTGTTTGTTACCTCTGCCAACAGTCGTGGATTAAGGAGGCTATCCCAGGATCAATCCCTTCTGGCACGTCCAATCTTCTATCCATGAAGCCAACCACTCCGACAATCTTCAGTTTTGAGGAGAGCAACTTAAGCAAAAACTAGTAGGCAATGAGTGCGTGAGAGAGAGAGTGGGGTACCTGAAGGGAATTTAAGTTGTTCCATGGAATAGATTCTGTCATCAGTTCCCATAGTATTACGCCGAAACTGTACACATCAGACCTGCGTGACATAGAAGATATATCCATGCGTGAGTTTCTCTTAAATCAGAAAATATGGCCACATGTTGAGTAGAGAGTAGATACCATGCACGATGCGGCCGCTAATTTCATTAATTAGAACAAATCGATCATATTTTTATCAAGAACTTTTTGCGGACTAAGTTTATTGAAACTCGCATTTTGATTATCCTATGTAGAGAAAAGAGAGGTGGGAGTAAATCAAACACTCCTTAGGGAATTATATGGGGTGACTCCTGAAATTACTTTTCATCTGATGGTTCATTACGAAGGACTTCAGGAGCCATCCACTGAGGCTGCATCAGAAACATTGGAGTCAACAGACCCGCTGACAATAGCTTGCAAAGAAAATGAGAGACAGAGAGAGAAGTAATCAAGTAGCGAATGCCTCTGTTTATGCTAAGAATTGCCACATGAAACAAATGACTCAACAAGAGAATGTCATTACAGTTCCTCTTCCAGATTTTGCTGTTAACAGCGTGGCATTCTTCAACCTTGAGAGACCAAAGTCTCCAACCTGACAAGTTGTTCAAATAACATCAAACAATTGGTAAATGCTCGGCTCGATAGAAGTGCACGTTGTCATGTTAAGGGGAAAAAAAAGAACAGAGGTCCTCATGGCACTATATTGAGAATACATTACCTTGACAGTCCAATTTTTATCAACGAGCAGGTTAGAAGATTTGAGGTCTCGATGCACTATTGGTGGATTCCTGTGATGCAAATAATTCATTCCTCTGGCCTGCAATGAGGAATTAATTCAAGTTAACTTATCCGCTAATGAAGAGCGTCTACAATGTCGTTATCATAGTCATGCTTACATGCTTCTTGTAAGTGTGTGCATTGTGCGTCTGCTGTGTGCGTTCGCGTACTAGAGAGAGAGAGAGAGAGAGAGAGAGAGAGAGAGAGAGACTCACAACATCAAGGGCCATTCTCAAACGGTGCCTTGTGTCTAAGACTTGATTGTTTTTGTGTAGTGTCTTGAAGAGACTTCCCCTGATCAATCAAGACAGCAAGAAATTGATACATCTAAGAAATAACGAGGAAAGGAAAAAGGCACCACCCCAACACACTTGCACAGTTATACTCTCAATATCTAACAAACAGCAACTCTTACTTCTGGCATCATTGCTAGACCAGGCATCAGAAACCGCCATAATTTCCTTACCTTGGCATGGATTCTGTTACAATGGCTAGTCGTTCCTTAGAGTAGACTGCTCCCATGAACAATAGAACATTCGGATGTCTCAGTCTCTTCATTATTTCGATCTAAATTGCAGCAAGGGAGAGCCAAAACTGATCATTGACAAGCATGTTTTGAATGTAGTTAAAAGTAACAAGTTCAAGTGTACCTCTTTCTTGTAGTCCTGCAAAGTATTTTCACTATATTCGTTCCCAACATAGACCTTAATAGCAACATCCTGATGGGACAGAATCAATTTGCAAAGATCAAGATATTGATCGTCATACTTATTATGACATTTAAGCATCAGTTAAGGTAACTACCGATCCCTCCCACATGCCGCGATAAACTACTGCACATGAGCCTGCAGCACAGGTCAGACAAGCAGAATTAATTTGCAATTTGTGGAAATCTGCGTTAGGCTTTACATCCCAATATCCTTTTCCCTTGACTATTTTACTGACATTGTAGGTTACAAAAAATGATGCCCTCTAAGACAAGCTTAAAAAAATTCACTTTCATTGGACAGCATGATTAAGCCAATCTTCCTCAAGCTGACACTTTTTATATTTTCAATTGAAACATGTAACTCATAAACCTAGGTATATGAAGTACAGTGTCAGTCAAAATAATATAGAGAGACCAAACCGTACCTTGCCCAATCTCTTCACCCAGCTGTAGATCTTCCCAACGAATCTCGCAGTCAACCATATAACTCAACTCACTATCACTTTTGCTTGATGAAGTGTCGTGGCTGCCAATGCTTTCTCCAGAACTGTGGAATTGTTTGCCATCAGGCGGTTTTTGTACTTCCTCCTTTACCAAGTCTCCTGGCTCAGCAGTTTCCTCACTCACTTGGCTGAGCACTTTCGGCGACAAATTTCCTGGTCTAGGCAAATGAAAACACTTATTGTATTTTCTTGAGGATGCTAACTCAGAAGTCTCACTGAAAGTGGGAGGATGTGCACCTCTGTGCAAATCAATGGATTCTCTTTCAGCTAAAACAGGAGTTTTCCTGCCAGGACATTTCCCCATGATATTGGGATGAAGAGTTCCCTGGCAGGTACTTGATGCCTTCAAATCTGTTGCAATGTTAGGCTCACATGTCACTTCATTTCTCACTGGACCATTACTTGCATGTTTGATCTGTTGGTAACTTTCATCTTCATTTACCACGTTCCGATTACCTTTAATATGCAGCTTCTCCAACAGTTTTGCTGCCTGCGGTCAGTTCAGTCATGAAAAAGTTACCAAAACAAGATAGAATGGCAACATTATCACAGCACGGGCCCATTTTGTAAATGAATAATGTTATATATTTGCACAGTTGTGGATAGTCCTGTAGCTCATGTTCTTATATTCAAAATGGCAGAGCGTTTAGGACTGAAAAAAATGCCAAAGAGGAATCCAAAAATCTTAGTCTACTAACTTATCTTGCTAACCCATATTTCACTGCCTGGAAAGTTTAAGTCAATATGTTAAAGATTAAATAAGTATATTAACTATTCTGTAGAACTTTAACTATTCAATGTTGAACTTTCCCCTGCAACAGAAGTGCGCACCTTAGAAACCTCCCCCTCACGTGTGAACCTGCCATCTAGCAAGCTACAACTGGATCTAAAGTTAGATATTTTCATACACCAACAAATCTCGACAGCCTTCACCTCTAAGTCAACTCTGATCTCCTTTACCAGACCAACCTGTGATGGCATGCACAACCCAACAACCAACTATTTGCAATAATCGTCCTTTGGAAACTCATGCAGATAAACTATTGGCTTTCTAGTTCAAGATCTTGTAATGCGAAATTACAAGAAAGAGCCCAAAGTTACAGCCATTGGCAGACTTAACCAGACAAAATTTCAATTAAGCTGATCAGTTTGGCCAAACTCAGTCGCTTAACTATTCTCTTTACCTTCAATTATCCACTGCGGGACTTCCTACTCACACCTCGGACATGCATCCCAAGATAGAGTGTCCATGCAAACATCATCCCAAAGCAAACATTCATAGAAACTCACTAAAGAGTCAAATAGGCATCGCCCATCTAAAAACTTGACACCGTCAAAATTTTAATAAGGTAAAATAAACTCTTGGAAAGACTATTGAAACACGCTGATAGGCTTTCGTAGATTTGGGCAAGTAAGTATGCCAATTCACCATCCGAGGAATCTCTTCGATCAACCATATTTTCCCAGTGTTCATACTGGGAATACAAGACAATGATTTTCCATCACTTCTTTAGAGATATGAGAAATTCATCTTGCGGCCATAGGATCAGAGGACGGAGACTTACCAATTTACCAGGTTTCTCTAATATAGCATCATCAGTTTCTATTGCATCGTGCTGTCCACCAACACATAGATTCTGTGTATTGTCTCCACATCTGCGTGGTAGAACTTTGGACGCCTGTGAACAAAAAGAATGTAGTCTCTGTCAACTATCTCCAAGCTTCAGGAATTTCCAAAAATAGTAATAGAGGGGAAGATGATAAAGGGGGAAAGAAAACTGGAAGAAAGTGAGAAAATATGACATGGAATGTGTAAGCACCAGGTTTGAAACAGAGGAAGCAATTTGTGGTATAGGTGCAATCTGTGGCCGTGGCTGCCACTGAATCTTTTTCAAGTTCAAACCCCGTGATTTAGGCAAGCCATTAGCATGCTCCTCATTTGCTCTTGATCTGTCCAGGCTTATACCATTAAAAAGGGCCGCATCACTTGAAACAGTGATAACACCAGCAAGCTCTCCACCCTCGTATAATGGGCTTTTCGTCACCATAGCCATAAATATTTCACCAGACCTTTTCTTAAGAGGAAACTGACCTGACCATGACTGGCCAAACCTCAGCTTTTCCATGATATTCTGCAGAGAAGGAAAATGTTCTTCAGCAACTAGAATTTCATCAACTCTTCGTCCAATGACTTCATGGTCTTTCCATCCATAGAGATTCTCAGCAGAGTGGTTCCTGGAATTTGAAAAGCACAAATAGACTTCAGATACAGATGCGGCTTCACTGAGATATTGCAAACATGAAATTTCTCTATCTCAGCCTCTAATCGAAGATTTCCCTGCTTTAAGAAGTGCAAAACCAAGTGTGAAATGTGGCGGAACGATCAAAGCTACACTTTCTTGGAGAATAAGGGCTGAATGCTTTCCAAAAATTGCTGCATTGGTATATGACCAATGTGACTAGCATTCGCTAGAACGTTTTTGAAAATTTCAGAATTGCTCAAAGCCTTATACATTTTTTTACAATTTCTATTCTTTCGGCATATTCGTGAGAGCTTGAAAGTTGAAATAGTAAATATAGCTCAGTATATCATGTAATAAAAGATTTACTTTTAAAGAGATTTTTTAACCTATTTGAAAAATATTTTATGCAAATACTGGCATCTAGCATTCTTTGCTTGACCTTTTAGTTACACAATTCAGAAGCCACAAGTGACAATAGTAACTTGAAAGGGCAAGGGACCTTTTAGTTATTATTTCGATGGACATTGGTAAATGCATAATAATCTGAGCTTCTGTCTATGGATCTGGCATTCAAGTTCATTGAGAGAAGAGATTTTTCTTGGATAATGTTAAAATGGTTCATGTTGTTCCGGATATTACTAGTCTTTAGTCAGACAAATTTCAAACCTCTAAATTTGTCGTTATATTAGTGCTATACTTTCTTATCTAACTTTTGGGAAATTTTGTCAATAAATACAAAAAGTTAAAACTTCGCTCAGAGTATGTTCAGCCCCTCAGCAATAAATCTTTGGCTCTACCATTGTCTGGCCTTCCAACACCAAGAAAAACAAAAAAATATAACTGTGGTTTTCGTTTATAAGGCTGGAAGTTCAATGCGAACTTTTGTCAAACACCTTCACTATCTTGGCTCCTATCGTCATGCATCATGAATAGGAACACCGTCTTGAAATCACCAAACAAGGAGAACAGCCCATTGAGAAATATTCCTATAATTAATTCGGCAGTTTAGACATAGGATTCACTCAATCGTGGTTAAACATCCCAACATGATCTTCCATCAGCTGTGATGAACAGCATAAAGAGACAATTACTTTTAGAGTCAATTAAGCACCAAGTGTCAAAACTTTTTAAGGGAAGTAAACAGCACCTTAGCTTAGCACTTCAGCATTGCACCGCAAAAAGGTCGAACATCTCTATCCCTATGAACTAGTACGAGTTTCGACAATTCGCCGCCACTAATTCCTTCAAATTATCAGTGTCACTTCAACAGACTCTGCACACAAGTGCAACATGATTTTTAGTTTCCCGTGTTATTCTAATTTCTAGAGTAAAATATCTGCATCCACAACAATTACAGAAGTTCCTCCACACTTTCAAACCGGATTTAAAAATCATAAAACGCGCTCTTCAACTTCCAATACACACTCGAAGAGCGAATAGGCAATCGGAATCAAAGTTCGCGCCCAAGTAACTGAACATCCATCGTTCTCCACCACGCACAGACATTAACACACGCAAAACAAGCAGCACGAACAATCGCAAGCCAAACTTCCAACGACTTCGCACAAACAAGCGCGTAAGAAGCTCTAGCTGCTCCACACACTTCCAACTTCGACACCAAAACAATCCTCGACTTCTAATACGAGACATCAAGAGCCAATCAGCCACCGCGATCGCGAGCCGAGATTCCGCAGAAACTCAAATGGAAACAGAAACGCACCAGTACGTGATCTTTCGCGAAGAAGCTCCGCACACGTGAACGGCGTGTCCGATCGACTCCAGAATCCTCCGGCACGGGCCTCCCCCAAGGAAAGCTCCCGGGAACCGTGCGAACGGATCGGACCCCGAGTCCGGCGGCGGTGGCGACGCCGCGCCGGGCTCGGGGCTCTCGCCGGACTCGACGAGCTCGGCGAGTCGCTCCGTGAGCTCGGCTTGGCTCGCCTCGAGCCTCAGGCACCGATCGGCGACGGCCCGGTACCGGCTCGGCCCCGGCGCGGGCTCCGGCTCGGCTTCTCCGGCCATTCTCCGCTGCGCATGGAGGGGTCAGATCACAGGGAGCAAGCAACGCAATCGCTTAGTTTATTATTATTACAAAGGTGGTCACCAAGAAGAAGTCACTCCAACGACAACAGCCACAAGAACAGACGGGTTAAAAAAAAAAAGAACGCAAATTAAAAAACGCAATTGAAAAATAGACAAATTGCATTTTTTTAATTTTACGTGTGAGCGGGCCCGCGGGTGGGAGCAATCAGGTGTTGACAGGAGTACGAGTTGGTGAAGCGAAGGGGGCCAATGGGGGAAGAGGGATTTTCTCGTGGTGGGGCCGGCGCGTGATGTCAGCAGTGCTGGAGAGTTCGCTATTGGTTGAAGGGACGGCCACGCCAGCTTCTTGTTGCGTTTTGGGTTTTGGTGCCTCGAAGGCTGCCCTTGCCTTTTCGGGTTATTTACACGTCCTGCCCTTGCCGCCATTCGTTCGAAACGAAAGAGGAAGCGGGTGGGGGAACAAAAAATCTGTATTTTTTGAATTTTTTTAATCTAACTTTTCATTTTGACCGCATCTATACCGAATAGGAATGGGCATGGTTCCAGGGTAAAACCTGAAACCTGAGAACTTGACTAGTGACAGCATCTATAGATTTCAGGTTTCAAGATATGCAGGGTAGGTTCCAGGTTCTAAAAATTGAGGAACCTGTTTCGACGGGTAAGTTCTAGATTCTAAGTAAGTGGAACCTGAAACCTGGAACCTAAATAAGTTTTTGTGTTTTTTTTTTGTATATATATTCGTGTGATCTTGCGGCGTTTCATGGCATTAGATGATGAATGTATAATCTGGAACTACTAGTCTGAGCTTTCATTTTATGACTTGTTAATGTTTTATATTTTTCGTGTGTCTAAATATAAGTTGTGATTAATGGATCATAACAGCAAATGGTGGTCATTAAAATTGATGATTCACTATAATTGTTCAATTAATAATATAGGTAGAACCTGGGTAAACCCTGGAACCAACCCTCAAGCCTGTGATAGAGTAAGTTCTAAGTTTCAAAAAATGAGGAACCTATTATCATGGGTGAAACCTATATGGAACATAAAACCGCTCACCCGCAGTATCGATTCACGCAATGACTTCTCATTTTAATTATATTTACTTGAACTGTAATGCCAAAAACTAGTCTTTTTGTATTTTATTTGGTGAATGATAAAGCTTTCGGTATTGTTGCGTTCATTTTCGTTTTGTTTAACTAAAAATGAAATTAAAAAAAAAAAGAACGTGTTAGACCCTGGAACCTATACCGGAACCTGTAACAGGGTAGGTTCCAGGTTCTAGGTTTTGACGGGTAGGTTCCAAGTTCCAAAAAATGAGGAATCTGTAACCGATGGTAGGCTACAGGTTTCATGTGGAACCTGTAACAAACCTTGAATCGCTCACCCCTAGTATCGAATACACAAAAAACATAATCGATCTACTTTAATTTATTTTAGACCTGCAAAATAATAAATCAGTAGATCATCGAATTAGCAACTTATATAATTAATCCCTTTTGAAGACCTTGATAAAATATCTTGTGGGGAAAAATAAAAATTGTGGCGTGTAAAGATGAGAAAATGACACAGATGATTCATGAAATTTAGCACACCGTGCAATGTCGTCCCTGAAACTTTAAATTGTTTAACGTGGTCTTTAAACTTTTGGTACATATTCAATTTGGTCCTCTAAATTATATGAAAATATTCAATATTATCCAAGAACTTGAATTGATGAAAGAATAACATTAAACAAAAAGATAGAAAAATTAAAAGTTTAAGGATCAACGTTGTATATTCAGATAAAATTTAATGGACCACATTAAACAAATTCAAATTTTTTAAATTATATTGCAAGTTAAACCAAAATTTAGGAATTATTTGTATCATTTTCTCTATAAAAATTCAAGAGGAATTAAATCATGGCGCGCTTTGGACCAATAAAATAACCGTTCGAAGCGTTTGGCAGTCAAAAAGTCAAAATCATCATCAAACCAGAGATACCGTAATTTCCCAAGAGGCACCCGACCTTCGAATCCCTCAGATTCTGAAGTAGGAGCGGAGCTCGAATCGCTATTCCCTGATCGCGCGCGATTCCTCTCGCTCTGCTTTTTCGGGGCGCGGCGATTGAGCGCTTCTTCTTCCTCCTCCTCGTTGTAGCTCTAACGCTCTCTGAATCGAAGCGACGCCGTGCGCGGTTCTGTAAGAATCTTTTCCGCTTTCTGTGCATCGCTGTTGTCGACGTCGCCCATCGTCGCTTGTTTTCCGACGTGGAAAACGGTGGCGGGATGTCGGTTCGTACAGAAGCGAGCCAGGCGGTAGCGGAGCTGAAGCGTGCGCATCAAATGATGATTGCGGACGGCCCGGAGTACTGGAGTGGGCAATCACCTGATCCGACGGTATTTTTTAGGATGCTGATAGTGTTTTATGTTCTAACATCAAAACAACAGCTTGTCGAGGTGGATTGTGTACAATGACTCTGTTGTTTCGATGCTATGAATTGATTGCGATTCATGGAGATTCGGTGCGTCTTGCTGGGAAGTCTCCGACGCGAAGGAGATATATATATATGCCTGAGACGGCATCGATTCTTTAAGCAATTTCGGATATCGTCCGTCACGCCGGTAGAAGTTAAATATCTCTTCATAAGCAGCGAAAAAGATTACCGGAGTGGCGGTCTCGGTGTTAACAATGGCTTTTGCACCAAAGCATATGATTCATTTGACCTTTTCTTTCCAGAAGTGAGATTCTAAGCTGAATCATAAAGATGGTCAGAAAGTTGTTGGTGAAATTGAAAATGCTTATCTGCTCACTCTTGGAAGTACCGTCACAGGTGCTGTGGGGAAAATGATTGTCGCGGAATTGATAAGAAAAGATGCAGAGTCATAGTACCCATGACCATAGATGTTGGTGAAGGAGCCTCAGTTGGCGTTAGACTTTAGGCTTGAGAAATTATTGTATAGCCCAAGAATACACTTCCCTCTCTCGCATGAGCGTGAATCGTACATGGGCGGGATCCGCATCGCATTAGCGAGGGAGGACATATATTACGAGAGCGCTGTAATTATCTTCTTATCTCTTGTTTGAGTTTATAGGTGATGTGTCTCCTGTTAATTTGACTGGATGTTCCATTTCGTCATTTCTTTTCTCAACTCTTCTTTCGGGCGGGGCGAGAACGTGGAAGAAAGGCTGACGAGCTGCAAATGCTCTATTTAGAGATGGAGATATGTCGTCTCGACCAAAAAGATTGACAGAGGTAATGTGTTTTGCAAGAAAAATTTTCGTTTGCTCAGTGATTGAAGTAACATGTTTCTCCCACTTTCTCTTTAATTCTCTTGAACAAGATGAAAGTAAAAAGATACAGTGTCTGAACTATCAATTGATCTTTGTTGAAAAGACTCTGATAGCTTCTTGCTTCTGTGTATTTTGCAATCTTCTTGCTACGCTTTCCTATTCAGCGTCTCTTCAAGCAATCTGATTGGAGGATGCCAGTACGATTCCGTCAGTTTACACCCGCTCAATGCTCAGACATGACAATGCCATGCATTTGAAGTGTTTATTTTGCTATTCTGGAGCTTTATGCATCTTCCAGATTCAATGCATCTTTCTTCCTGAGCTGAATGTGAAAGCCATCTGGAAATTGTAGACCAGGGGTTCGAACAATGTTGCCTCCCTCGATTATTTGCCACCTGAAAGTTCGAAGAAAAGGTCAGCTCTCTCTCTCTCTGGTCTGTGCATGAATACTCACTCGCCGTGCATAGTCAGTAAAGCTAATCCACAATAAACTTTCATAGCCTGTTTACCTGTACTTAGTAACCAAGCAATGAAGAAAGACCGCCATCTGGACTTTTGTGAAGTCTGTTCCAACACAAAATCTCATACCACCGCCAAAAGCCATGAAATGTTTAGATGCACCATTCACTTCAATTCCCTGTATTTGACCACCAATTTTTATCAGCACATTAAGTGGCTTAGTAAGTTATTTATACAAATTCTTTCGCACCAAATTGCTGGCTGGTGCACCAAAAGTGAAAATCCACAAATGCAGGACCCACCTCCCATCTTTCTGGATTGAATGAAAGAGGATCTTCATATTTCGTGGGGTTTAAGTGTACAGCTGGTGGACATGCCACAACTGCCCATCCTGCTGGTATGGTGTATCCTGCATTAACATCGGGCTTTATGCTTCGTCAAGGTGGGCATGAATTTATTAGCATAGTTACAATAGAAGGCCTAGTGATACTGTTGCACATACCTTTGAACTGGATGTCTCTTAGTGCTCTTCGGAAGACTCCTGGAACTATATTTGCCAGTCTTACAGTCTCATTTATGAACTGAAAGATGAATTTTATTAGAGCCGTACAGATGCACGTATAATCTCTACCTGATAATTTAAACGGTTATAACCCACCTGAAATGTATACGTCATTAATTTGTACTCCTTCCATGAAAGTCCGGAACTAGCATCATCCCTTTTCCTGAGAATGGCCTCATGCTCTTCCTGCCATAATCATAAGGATTTAGGGAAAGTTTGCCAGCACTCAAGAGCTATTGGTAAACTTATACAGTGGAACCAAAAAGGCAGAATTTTACTGACCGTGAGTTGCTTCAGCACCCTAGGATGATCTGAAAGAAACTTGATGGCTAGCGTAAGAGCCAAGGACGTGGTCTCAAAGCTGGCAAAAAGTAGCACAAACATTAAATCTAGAGCGATTGCCTCCGTGAGTATTGTTCCCTCTTTCTTAAGTTCTTCCAGGACATAATCAAAAAAATCACTTTGGTGCTTCCTGGGCGTTGCTCGTCTTTCTTGCATTAGGTTCTTCAGCATTCTCATTGCCTTTTTCCTGCCCTGATTCAAGATCACAAAGGGACGAGGTTGATACCATAATAGGGTACTTCAGCTTGTCAAGAAATGAGTCATTGCCATCTCTTTTTTCCCCTTTTTTAAGGAAAGTGGAACCAAAGAGTAGGAAAATCACATTATTTAATGTTCTGGACTTAACTCAGTTTACCTGGAGACATTCGTGATAGGCTGTTCCAGGCATATCTAGTGGAAAGGAAATTAAACCCTTTATAAAGGCATCAAAATTCGCTCTCAGATTCTCTGACGAGCTCTCTGAGTCATGACTTATCAGCTTCTTTGCTGTCAAATGGAATATCATCTGCAGAGACCATAAGTTCATGCATATGCTTGAATTAGGATGCCTTTTGGAGGAATATGTGAATCAGAGAGCAGAGCTTAGGCTGCATTACACTTGCAGTTGCGTCTTTTACTTCGACCTTGTCCTGATTCGACCAGTGCCTCAACCTTCGAATTGCAACTTCCTCAACTTCAGGGAGCATCTTCTTGAGGCTTTCTGGGCCAAAGAGATAGAGCACCATGTTCTTGAGGTACCTGTACATAAAACCATGCAAAGAACCCACATTCTGTCGCCCAAAGATCTCTGTGAAGGTGTCTGGATACCAGCTCTCGAACAAATGCCCTTCTTGTTGGAAGATGAAGTAATTGAAATCTGGGTCGGCTGATACTACAACCGGCCGACCGACCAAACTGGTACGAAATATTGGCCCGTATCTGAAAAATTTACTGGAATCAGACATTTATCGGAAAAGGCAAAAGTAGCAGCGTCCTAACTTTAGATTTTAGTTACCTCTTCATTCTCTCTTTAATGAATGGAGCGATGTCATGAGTAGTGTTTGGAGTGAAGAACCGAAGGGTCTCGCCTAGAAGTGGCCACCCCATTGAACCTGGCGGGAGCTTTCCGTCGCATCTGGGATTTCTCCATCTGTAGACCCAGTTTGTTATGCTTAAAATGATCAAAGCTCCAATGCACAATGCCCACATTCTCAGTTCTGCTAATATCTTCAATGTGAGAAGTTCTCTATTAACAGATGCTAGCTTCAGTGAAAATCTTATGTAGGCAGCTTTCAGGTTTAACAAAATGTCAAAACAGGAGGAGAAAGTTTGGGAAGGAAGGGATGAATGAGGGCATAGATGCTGACCTATCTCGGAAACCCATTAGAGGAATCTTATATAGGGTTATGGTGATTCACATCTAGCTGGGAAATGACTATGAAATTGGCGCCCTTTGTTATAGGGAAGTTGTGTTTGCTTCAGAAAGAAATTTATACGAGTAGTTGGAGATAAACTAAAATAATCCGGAATCATTCTGCCCGAGAGACCACTAAAATAGTGACTATGAAATTATCCTTCGTCAACGGCCTCTGTGAAATTGTGCAACAGACTTGCATTACATGATAAAGAAGCTCTCTCTCTCTCTCTCTCTAGATTAGATGTTCACTGAACTTGGAAAAGAAACATGAGGTTGGAAGGATTTGTCTGATGGAAAATTTGTATCAGAAAGCGATGCCAATCTTCAGTGCATCATTTAATAGAACACATGAATAGCATAAGGTCTCCCCAACTCATCGAAATCTTAAAAGCAACTGTTCTGTATACAACAGTATCTAAGTGACGCTGATGCCTCAATATATGCTCTTCTTGGTTGCCTCTGTTTTTCCCCCTTAAACATTTCGTTTATTGTCCAAGTTACAGTTGTGACAGATATGTTCCTAGATATTCTCTAGCTGGAATCTTGTTCTTATATTCGTATCTATCGCTCTAAATCTCTGCGCCTGCGTCATCAGAGATTGCAAAATGGATACGGAAGAAATAAGGAGAGAGAGAGAGAGAGAGAGAGAGAGAGAGAGTGAGGAAAAAAGAGTTCTCTCTTATTTCTTTGACTAATGTTTGTGAAGAGTCAGTGGCTAAGCTAATTAGGCTAATGAATGAGGCTGTACTCATTTCGAAGCATAGAGCAGCGCCCCTCCGTCCCATTGAGCCACGGACTTTTACCTCATGCAGTGAGCTCCACTAGATAGGTAGGTCACTGTTTTTGTGACCCAACATTATTTGAATCATTGTTTAAATGTATCACGCGACGGATGGTATTCGTGTCAAAAACTTCTTGACCCACCGCGGATTCAGATGTCTCTACAGTATTCCTATCAACTTGGTAAAATCCTTTGCATTCCTAGGCTTGTTTGTGCACTTTTTATAGGAGCCACGTCGCTCAACGAATTTTATCTGCATCTTTGCGATTTGCTGTCAACAACTCTAGGCACCGCACTGGTGGTGACCTCTGTGTATGCAGAACACAGACTATCTTTATTGCTTACGTTATGTTTTGAGAACATATATATATATATATATATATATAAGTCACGCCCCACACATTTATAGCACAAAAGTGCTTTTGTTGTCTTGGCGGAAAATATTCTCCTTTTGAAAAATATTTTTTCGGAAGTCATTTTTATGAAAAATATTTTCCCAAAACATAATTTTTCGGTGTTCGGCGATCAATATGAAAAAGTTTTGGAAAATATTTTTCACCGGCAGCGACTGGCGGCGGCGGCGGGCGGCTACCGGCGGCGGCGGGCGAATGGCGGCGGCGGTCGGCAACCTTAGTGAAGAAGAAGAAGAAGCTCCGGAAAATGATTTCCACTTTTGAAGAAGCGGAAATCATTTTCCATAGACTTAGGCTATTTTGTGAGGGGGGGAAGGAAAATATTTTCCCACGGAAAACGTTTTCTGCCCCCAAACACTGGAAAACCCGAAAAATATTCTCCTTTTGGAAAATATTTTCCCGGAAGTCATTTTCCTGGAAAATGTTTTCCCGGAATATAATTTTCCGGTGTTCGGCGACCAATATGAAAAAGTTTCGGAAAATGTTTTTCGCCGGCGACGGCGGCGGCGCATGGGCGCGTCCGGCGGCCGGCGACCGCCGGCGGCGCAAGCGACCGACGGCCAACGTCCGGCGGTGGCGCGGCGGGGCGACGACCTGCGGCGGCGGCCGGCTACCCGCGGCGACGGCCGGCCGGCGGCGGCAGCGCGGCGACCGGCGACCTTAGTGAAGAAGAAGAAGAAGCTCCGGAAAATAATTTCCGCTTTTGAAGAAGCGGAAGTCATTTTCCGTAGACTTAGGCTATTTTGTGAGGGAGGGAAGGAAAATATTTTTCCACGGAAAACGTTTTCCGCCCCCCGAACACCAGAAAACCCGGAAAATATTTTCCTGGAGAATATTTTTCGCCAAACGAACGGAGCCTAAAATAGAATATTTCCGTGACAGAATCAGGTGACGAAGATAGCTGAACTCCCTTGTGGAAAGGTCGTGGGCTCACAACAATGACAGCTTGAGTAAGCCCTTTTCCTTTTTTGGGCCAGCAAGGAATTAAATCCTTCTTTTCCCCTCAAATTATAAAAGGGTATCCTCCAAACTCCTAATGGTTGTCGTATCATGTATGAAAGCCTAATCGAAGTAGAGTCATGAGGACCCACATGCTCGGCTTGTCCTTCGCACAGAATCACTTTAGGGCCCGTTTGGTAACGTGCCAAATAGTGAAAATTTCTGTTCTTTTGTTTCCAGAAATAGTTTGGGAACAGAAATGCGTTTGGTAAATTTTTTGTTCCTTGGCACATTTTTGCAAAAATTTATGCCGAGAAACAGTTTTGGAAGAGAAACAAGAAGTAAAAAAGTTGCTTCTTGTTTCTGACAATTTTGAGAATCAGTTTTTTTTTTCTTTTTCTTTTTTTTCTTTTCTTATTTTTGTGTTGTTCTTCCCTCGGCTGGGCCGGCCGCCGGCGACCGGCCACAGCCCAGGGCCGGCGAGGGCGAGGGCTGGACCCTCGCTGCCTGGGTGAGGCGGCCTCGCCCGGATCGAGCGAGGCCGAGCCTCGCCGTCCGTCGCGACGGCGAGGTCGGCCTCGCCCGGATCGGCGAGGCCGAGCCTCGCCGTCGCGACCACGGCGAGGTCGGCCGCCGTGGGTCGCGCGGCAGGCTCGGCCTCGCCCAAATCCGGCGAGGCCGAGCCTCGCCGTCTGCAGGCGAGGCCGCCTCGCCCAGGCGGCGAGGGTCCAGCCCTCACCCTCGCCGGCCCTGGGCTGTGGCCGGTCGCCGGCGACCGGCCATGGCCAAAGAAGAAAATGGGTAGAAAGAAAAAAAAATTAAACAATTCAAAATATTATTTGGGAACAGAAATTTTGTGTAGTTACCAAACGCATTTCTGTTCTTTTCTACTTTAGGAATAGAAATTTTGGACAGTTTATCAAACACCTTCAAATACTCAGACATTATTTCCGGGCACAGAATAAAAAAAAATCATTTCTATTCAGAAATAGCGCCCGGGCACAGAATGGTATTCATGCGCACCCTTAGTGGCCACCCACACGCAGTGGATCCTCGTAAGTATGATCTCCCTGATGTTTAGTTTAATCAAAATACTGCTATGGTTCATGGCCCGCTTGCTCATTTCTTACTTCCCATACGCCGCTTAAAGAATTGCATCTACTACGTATTTCACGTACTTTCGCTCTAAAATTTTAGACTCAAGTTGCAAGAGCATCGTTCCTGTGGGTTTTATTGCGGTTTCGTGTGGGCGCCCCATGTAAAAGTTTGCTAGAACCTGCACCAGTAATATCCGTCGAAGTTGTTCGATATACCGAATTTAGATCTTCAATGACTTCGCATGAGGATGAAATTATTGGTATAGTCTGCAGTGAGGAGTTAATCTGTTGGCTTTTTTCTGTGGTTTCATGACTAACGCCTTCTATTGACGGTAATTTCTCTCTTTTAGCGATCATTCTTCTACTGCGAATAAGCGTGTAATTCTCTTAAGGAAAATTTTGATGACTTTGTTTACATGTTAGTGTCGAAACACATATACACGTCGTCGATAATTGCTCACGATTCTTTTAATAAAGAGTAGAGATAAATTAAGATACACTGTGAGCAACCCTGCTTATATTAACCAGCGGTATCGTGACGGCGAAGCACAAAAAAGTTCTGAATAAAACTTAGTCTATAGCTCAAGTTGCATTTCGTTGCCCATTGTCAATCCATCAATAATGGTCTCAAATTGCATATTTATATCAACAAGCTTGCATGATTGGAAGTGAAGATGCTTTGAACTGTGCAATCAGAGAACTGGAAGGAGTAGTGAACCAGTAAACCACATTGCTTCAGATTGTAAAAACCTGAACATGTAACGGTCAAGCAAGTGCTGCCACTTGCATTTAATTCCCATTTGACCGGAGCAAGGGTAAGACTAAAAACATCTAGGAAAGCAAAACCTCTTTTGACCATATTAATGATGTTTGATTCTGGACACAAATTTTTAGGGTTTGACACTAACATAGCTTGGTAATCTTGGGGTGCCAAGAGGCTTGCCATACGCTTTCTTGTCGGTAAAATGTCTCTGCATTCCTTGCTGGGGTGGTTTCAGGCAATATCATTATCACTTTAAGAGCATTATATGCAGTAGATTGTCGGTTGCTGTGTCCCATATGAGGTAGGGCTTTGTAGCTTCTTGAAATTTGGAATAGGATTACTATATGATGGAGAATCATTAGGAACAAGGGTTTCACACAAGAAAACAAGACTCTTACACCTTTATGTTTTTGAATTTGAATGTCGAAATTTCATTAACTTATTCTATATGTAATTTGGGCTAGCAGAAAAACTTGCATGGGCCAATTACCAATTTTTCTTTGTTGTGTCCGATTATCAAAACTGGCTAGAAAAATGAGCGACTTCTAATGTACTTTGCTGTTGTATTACTAACTTTAGAGTGGAGACAAAATGGAGGGTCATGTGATTCATGTGCTTCTCTCGTTCCTAGAAATGATGAATTCTTTGGACGTTTGTCATCTAATTGATTTTTGCTAATTTAAGGCATTCTTATTTGTTTAATGGGGCTACTCCTAGTAGGTTCATTGAACCCGTCGAGAATCGTCAGATGAAGCTAAACAACTAATAGAAATCTTAACAAACAAAGTGCCTAAAGATCAATAGTGTAGATCATCCATAGAATGATATCATTTTTTAAGAAATGAAAAACAATGCAAGAGTTAAATATGTCAGAAATTGTTTTGAAGGTCGTCCTCTCAACTCTTAATGCAAGAGCATAGATGTAATAGTCAATTACTCATAATTTGGGAAAAATGTAAAATCGTGTCGAGACCACTGAATTATGACAAAATGCTAGAGAAAGAAAAAGAATTATATGATCTTTTTTCATTGCCAAGTCTTAATAAGGGGTGTGCAAAATAGACCGCCCAAACCGGAAATCGCCCGGACCGGACTAGATCGGGCGGTGTGGTCCGATTCCCGGGAGTGTCGGTTCGATTTCTTGTTCCTAAAAGTGGAACCGGTGTCTGGGCGGTCTGGTTTTCGATTCCAAAGGGAATCGGACGGGACCAGACCGACCACATATACATTTTTTTTATATTTTTTTATTTCTTCAAAAAAATTAATGAATTTTAACTAAACCCTAAGTAAAGAACGTTTTTTTATTCGTCTTTTCAATTTGAGGAATACCGCATACATATCACTTTATTCAACAAGTAAAGATGGTATCAAGTAGTGGGAAAAAAAAAGTGATCGGTTTCATTGGACCAGATTGGAATCAGATCGGGAACCGATCGCCCCTAGTCTTTATCATCTATAAAGAGCCATATCACATGCATCAAAAGAGAATGTTTTTAAATGATGGAAATGGAGGAGTGGTTCAAAAAAAAAAAGACGAGACGTTAGTCGGGAAAAGAAGTTAATAAATGATTAAAAAAAAAACTCATCTTTCAAAAGACAGGTAAACGGAGGCCAACGTAGCAAATAATGGTGTGCTTCCAATTAGGTATGACAATTGTTTATATCATATATTTATCAAATTACGGCAGAAATCATTTTTAAATAATTGTACGGAGCAATAAAGAAAGAAATGCTTTTCCGAAAGGAGTCTATTATTTATAGATTGAAAGTTACAGTTGCGAAATAGGCATAAAAAGCTAGTTACTATTTGTCCAAGTATAAGAATAAACAAAACGAAATACTCACGTTCCTGCCTCCTAAGCAAATGGGAGAATAATGCACCGTCTCTTTATCTTCTCTTAAGCTGATGTGAAAGCAAGCATTGGAGACAATCCTTATGACTACTCTGCAATAATATCTTTAATAATGAAAAATTTGGACCAAAGATTTGGCGATTGATCAAAATAGAAACTCAAAAAATTAATTAAAAAACGTTCTAAACCAAATGAGGAGATAATTACACAATCAATCCTAAGCATGTTGTGCGGATGCCAATTCAGGTTTAAACATTTCAATTTTATTAATGTAGTCCTAAACCTTTCCGCGGAATTTCAATATAGTCATTTCGCCCGATTACCGTCGGAAATTACTAAAGCGATGTCCAGTCATCGCCGGCCATCCTATGCGACACGCCGATGTGGATAATTAGCCCAAAAAAGATCGCCCAAAGGTTTAGGATTACGTTGACAAAATCGGAAAATTTACGATTGAACTGGTATCCGTATAATGGGTTCAGGATCGAACTGGTAATTTTTTCCTGCCAAGTGAGGTTTAGGATGCAGTGTGACCGACTTGACCGCCAAGTAAATATGTCAGATTGATTAAATGAATTGGTCTGTCTTGCGGATGGAATAAGAACTCCATAACTTATAACACAAACATCATCGCACGATTTGAATAATATTTGTCTTCCACAAGTAAACAATGGCAACTGAGCTTAAAGAGCTGGCAATCAATGGACCTCGGAAGACACGAAATCTCTAGGTGGCGTTGCTTTGTATAGACATGGGAGCTGTTGCTCTTCTGAACAAAGTAACGAGAAACCTCTCGGAATCGTTCATGAAATTCAATTTTGGCGATTAAGTTGGGCTGAAGCTTTGGGCACATGACAATGCGTACCATAGTATCACCATCGTCGTCAAAAAGATTATTAATTCAAAGGACAACGTAACATAGAAACAGAAGCACGTTCTGGAGGGCATTGCATGGGCAATAATTGAATCGAAGGACAAAATTAGAGAGGCTCCAATACGCATCTCGATCCTGCATTTAACGACGATCAAGAGTGTTGCCCAAGGTTAAGGATTCCCAGATGTGCGTATTAGAATATTCAAATATTGAATCACGCATTTATCTAACAATTTAAACTTTTTATAACAATTGATAGTGATTCCGCCAAATCTCACGTGATATTACATCAAAAGATCTCGAGTTTGATTCTTTTCAGGCTCCTATTTGCCTACCCTAATTAAATATTCCCACGCTTAATACTAGGCAACTTTTCATTCGTTCAACGTGAGCATTCACTTATCATATCACGTTCATTGACCGAGAATATTCTTGAGTGAGCTACAAATATCACATCGACAGACCACCATAATATAAATTCGAGATTGCAGAGTCCTTTTCATTTCATGGGTCAACCTCACGAATCCAGTTGTTGATTGAGCATTGTAAGAATTGGCGTCAGCAGTGACGACCAGACTAACCATGGTGACCGAGCATGATCAAAAGAAAATGAAAAAGTTGGAACACGACGGGATATAAGCCCTCAGTTTCATCACTGCATATCCTATAACGATAAGAACTTTCATAACTTTTTTTCTAGACGAACTCGGCATTTTCCAGTCGACAAGCAGACCGTGTCTGCTATAGATGATGATGTCCCGGTGCTAGACATAAAAAAAAATGATACAAAATCGGCGCAATGTCATAATTAACTCGAGCATTCACTCAATAGCCTATTGAATTTTACGTTAAAATCCACGCAAAACTCGTTATCAAACGGTGAGCTATATAGTTTGTGGAAGAAGACCCAAGACTAAAGCCCTAAACATCTAGCCAGAGAAAGAGAGAGGGAGAGAGAGGGTGCCTGAACATCAAGGATTGATCTGGGCAGAAACCTTTGCACCTTTTCTGCTCCTGAGAATTTTTAAGCGTTGACAGATGCTCAAGGCGGAAAAACTACCACCACCAGTCGCAACAAGGGCCTAAGATTTGCCGTCATCTAGCTGCGCTGTAGTTATTTTTCTTAACTTTCTGTCATGGTTGAGCATTGCACTGACACTCTCCACCACCAAAATAATCTGCAAAATCGGCCATATAAAGGGACAAACAGAATGCGGAGACATCAGTTGGTTACCAATCCTTTCTTTTTCTGTTCTCTTTTCTATCAACTATGACTTATGAGAGAAAGAGCTTCGATGAGATATATATTCTATAGAAGTTTCATGCCAAAGTCTAAAATTCATAATTTCAAGAGAACCCAAAATGAATGATGGACTGGTTGAACAATGGTAGCAACAACTACAGGTAATGACTAAGTATTCAGGACCTCTAGAAATTTCATGTTACAGACTAATGCGCATAAAGAAACAATATTTGTCTGCAAATGATGTTTCATTTCAGCTATCTACTGCTCATTGTCATGCCTGCTGAAAGTGGGCTACAAACTTAAAACATACCTGCAGGCAAGCATAGGCCATAGCAGTGGCAAAATAGAAGTTTGCATTGCCAGTGCCCTACAAATTATCCCACAGAAATTATGATCTGAAGAAAAAACAAGAAAGCTCAGCCAGACAACTAAGAAACTTCCAAGAGTACCATACCCTCCAAATCCATAAGTTGTGCATGACAGGGCTAAGGAGAGACACTCCAACATATCCACAGAAGAGGAAGAAAGAGAACTTCATGTCTGCAAAACATTATATCAAAAAGGTCTTAAGTCTTTAAAGATACAAAACACAATCAGAACAAAGGTTTTTCTTCGCTTGCCTGCCAATTCATTCACGAACAAAGCCAACACAGCCAAGTAAAGAGCTGAATCACCAACCTAACCAAAGTTAAGCAAAAGAATGTGATGGATGGAGAAAATGGAACACAAAAGAATGTAAAGACCAGCCAAAGAAAATATATGTAATTTTAAGAGAAGCTGCAAATGCCTTTATGGCATTGGACATATCATATGGCCATGTTGTTCATATTCTTTGGCTAGACAATCACACTTTTAAGGAAAACTATACCAGAGATCACATACCTAAATCCCAAGCCAGGTAGGTGAAAAATGCAATACTATTGGGGGGCACCAAACAGGTATCAGTGATTTGATTACACATGATTAAATCGATTTTCTCCACTCCAATACATGAGGTATATAACTGTTAGTGGTGGTGTGTGGTGATGAAACATCTTCTTACCACTAATTAAGGCATCTCGCGTCGCTTATCTATGGGGTTACAATGGGCTTTACATTCATATAGACATCCTTCATCTATTAGCTTAAGCCTTTTTGTTGGACTTTCTAATACAGTATTAGAGCCACAATCGTCATCCCAGAATTATTTCGCGTTTGAGGCTCCCTATTAATCAATTTCATATATCGCTCTCAATCTAATTTGCACATGAGAGGGAATGTTAAAATATCTCACATCACTTCCGATGGGCCTTATATTCATACAATTTCCCTTCACCTATCAATTTAAACTTTCGGATAAAACTTCCTAACTGGAACAAGAACAATATGGGAAACGATACATCAGCTCCAGCATCCAAAACAGATCAGCTCTCGATATATATGCTAGGCAACAGTGGTGTGACTTGTTGACCTCAAACTTCTTGAATTGGCTGGAGGCATCAAACTTCTCAAACTTCAGCATGCGGAATTAAACTCTCACTATATAAAGTCCTCGGTGATAGGATTAGAGTCTTCAAATGCCTACTTTTACTTGAGAATGAAACTTATAAAGGAGAAGCAATGGTGAATTATTGGTGAAGATATGAGATTTCGCTATGAAAGTACTTACTGAAGGATAGGATTTGAACATTGAAGAGATTGCAAGATACACGAAAGCCAGAAAGCCAGGTCGGTGTTTCAGCCGTATGGCAAGTGGTAGTATCATAAACAAGATATTCACATGGAAAACTATAAGAAAAAAATCTCTGAAGAAGTCAAAGACTTCAGCAAAGAAGTACCTGCATACATCAAACAAATTGTGTCAAAAAAACAAAACCTGCCATTAAGTTGACTTGCTCCGTTTTAGGAATGCCTATAATAGTTGTCAGTCATACGCACCATAAGACACCTGTATTTGGAGACAAGTCCTTCACGGTCAGAATGAAACCGTAAGTACTGCAAAAACCAGCAAAAATATCAGAGAATCTCAACAAAATATACTAGAAGCCAAACATTTAGAGCAGCAACTATTGAAGAAGATGATTGATTTTTACAAAGAAAAACCAATTCATCATCACAAATCACTGAAGGCAACCGAGGACTACTCAACCACAGTATAACTAGCAAAAAATAAGAAAGTGTGAGTACTTCGATTCCCTTAATACAGAGGGAAAGTAAAAAAGATGGTAATTCAACTAATGTTCACCATGTAAGATTCAACAACCACCACCTGAATCTCAATAGTAAGTAGGTATACGGATTATCAGAATGGCTTGCTTTGATCAAGAACACACTTGGCAAGTTAAGCTCTAAACCAATCTTCAGACTCGGTCAGGATATTTTGAGCATCGAGCTCTTTATAAGCTGCTGCTGTCAGATTGTGGGCTAGCCAGCAAAAGAAGGATTGATTCTAAACCTAAACCTTTTCTCGCATTAGAGAGGAAATGACAGCGAAGTCCCTTAACAGAACATTCTAATGCAAATGCTTCTGTCTCATGCAGATCCAAAGCACATAAAAACTTAAATTAACAATTCATATAGCACAGCAAGTACAACAAATCATATAATAAATCTTTCAGATCTTTAAATTTTCGCCTTCAATATCGAGTGAGTATACCATCAGAAAATCAACAAAAATCCTTAGGTTCTTGTCCTGATTATCCCCCTTTCCTGTCGGTAAGAAATATCAGAAACTAATCTACTCATACAATAGTGAAAAAGGTGAAAGGTAATGAAACAGATCAGGCAACGAATATAATGGTTGCTCTGGTAGTCTCACAAAGTCATGATGTGATGAGAAGCTAGGATCACATAGAATGCAATTGTCACCTTTTAAACATCTCCGAAAGACCACCATACTGCTTGACAGAAATATCACAAAGAAGCAAAAAATAGATTCCCCAGATAAAAGTCCAGAGTAGGAATTGCATGACTCGTCTCCATGAGAAGGTAGTTCGGAGTTCCAACAGGTCTGCCGCATCCTCTGTTTTACGATACTGATCACTGGAAGGGCTAGTTCCACATTTCCTGTAGCTCCTTTGCAGGAACAATTTCCTAGGAGGAGCATCTGGACCGTACCCCAAGAAGAGAATAACCTAAAATCAAAAGCAAGTATAATTATTGAACAACAGCATCGTAAATACAAATAAATAGACCTAAGGAGCCAAACAATACTGGAAAAAGAGGGGAAATGCATACTGGAATTATAAGTATTGCGGGATAAAGAGACATGTGCGTAGCCAAGACCCATCCAAAAGCTGCCAAGGGAACCAGTCCTGCGGTCCAATTCCAACATAATAGCATTTTGGATCAACAAGTACAGTCCAAGAACATCAAACAGAAATACAAGACGAGCTTAGGACCTAATGGGCATTCTGCAATCACATTTCAAATCCTCTATTTACTCTCAGTTCCACTCAATTTGAGACAATCTTATAATGTTATTCTAAATGCACAACTTCCAAGAAAACTTTGTTCTTGACTGATCGATTTTAGCCAAATACTCCTCTTTGCAATGTGTTTATTATGCATCTGGTCAACAGAAATTGAATAACCCAAACCATGAAGACGGATAAATTATGCTCAATAAGTATCAACTCATCTAGCTTGGCCTATGGTGAACACAAGATAAATTAAAAGGAGTCTGTCTGTGCCGCAAGAATAACTAAAACGCTGCTTAAAATTCAAATTTGATGTCTCACACCATGAGCATCAGCCTCGAGTCCTTAACCACGATATGCTTTAATTCCAACATTAAGAGGAATTGCAAATATTTGATTAAGCAAAATATTGGAGTAATAAATTCAGCAAATACATATTCAACACAGTCCCCATATCTCAGTGAAGGCAGACATATACCTTTACAAGCACCATAAAGGGCTAAAAGGATTGCCATATTTTCAACAGGGGATGTCGATAGACCAACACATGCAACTATTGTGAAAGGGTTCCACAGATAGACCAGGGCTGCAATGTCTCCTGATGGTAATATCCCTGAAACAAAATAAGACCTAAACTTAAGCAGCATAGTGTTGTAGCTTTACTAGTTCTTTTCACAAAGCAGCGTATCATCTACGTAGCTTCATACCATGGAAATTAGAAAAATAAGAATTAGTGAATACACAAAGTCCCCAGAAAGAAATGGCCAAAAAAAAAGTTCCCAGAAGAAGAGACTGTAAGTACACCCAAACCAAACTGGTATATAATACATCAAGAGGTTAGACTATATATATCTTCAAAATCCCTTCTCTCACTAACATGGACCTCGCCAAGCCAGCATGTCTTGTTTAGGATAATAAATCGTGAAATAGTCTTCAGTGACTCCAATATGCATGAGATACTCAATTTAGACCAATTTTAGACAAATGCAACCTCAATGCATCCAACTCACCATATGTCTAAGCCTAGGAGATATTAGCTTGTGTAACTTAATGCACTACAATAATAGTCTTACAAAAGGGAGAGAAACAGAAGGATATAGAACTAGTTGTTAGATTCTAGAGAAACAAAATTACCTGATTTTTCTGTCAACTTGAAAAGATCCAGAGCTTCCAGATGTTGCACATATGCCTTTTGCAGACTCTGACCAGTCGAACGAATAAGCATTGCATTGAGAATATCTGCAATCACAAGAAGTAGACTACAACCAAAAGAGCTGTTCTCATGGACTGAGCAACTTATCAACATAGAAGATAATTACATGAAGAATGCAGGGAATAATATTAGATTGCTCTGGAGAAGATCTGACAGATTATACCGACTTATGAAAGACAAAATTCACAAGGTAAGATACAGCAGACGTTTGTAAAAATTTGTGACAATTGTAACAATCCTACGGAATGCTCATTGTAATCCATCGAAGCAAAACAAGAAACAACGGCAAATTTCCAAGTTCATAGGTCTTCTCCAGTCGTGTTCAACTCAGAGAATCAAAGTTAGGACCAGAAGCATTGTAATCTGTACTTAGGTTAGATCCTTCCAGGTATTTCCAATGGATGACTGTCAGTCTATCAGTTGACAAGACACTGAATTACTCATGCTTTGAAAAAAAAAACCACTACAATAAAGACATACCATATATCACACTGCATGAAAATAGTAAAACACAAACAACCTACACAAGCGAAACATGAGAGAAGTAGAGATACCTGCACAGAAGATGCTCCGGTTGCCCTTCAATCCTGCACGGCGAGAAAGCTACAGAACATAATTAACTTCGCAATACATACGAAATCATCAGAACTCCCCTAAAAATGTTCAATTTCCGGAGTAAGAAAACGACTTTTTCGCATAAACCACCGCCTCCACTTCGATATCTTCGAATGAATCTAGTTCAGCTCTAGCCGAGAACCAGCAAAGCTCACACGTATCAGCAATTTCACTCCGATAGGTACCTTTTGACAGTAAGAGGTCCGAGAAGCAGCAATAGCAAAGGAGAACCGTGATACATGGAACCTGTGGAAGGGAACCGAAACTAGATCATCAAGCATCAAACAGCAACACCAATAGCAACAAGTAGCTTCCTTCCTAAAGATCGAACACACGCAGTCGAACCTGCGTACGGAGACATCGACGACTGCTTCAACCAGTAGCCTTCGGCAACTGCAGGGGCGGCGACCAAAAACAAGTAACCAAAAAAAAAACCGAATCAGAATGAACGTCTCTCTAAAATTTCAAGCGAGGGATTGCGAATCGAGTCGATCGACGAAGTGAAGAAGAGAGGCGTTACGGCGGCGAATGCTGGTGAGAGGAGTGGCGACCTCGGGGCGGGAGGACAGGTGGAGGTTCCTGGGGAGGTAAACGAGGACCAGCCTGAACGCGACCGACGCGACGAACCACGTCCAGAACTCCGAGCGCGCGTGCTTCTGCTTCGTCTTCTTCGTCGCCGTCGCCGTCGCCGAACTCATCGTTTCTCTCTCCTCCATTGTCGCCGGAAGCTCGAGCTCTGCTCCTCAGAGGTTCCGACGAATCGACGATCTGCTCAGACCCTTCGACGCCTTGCCTCGGGGGTTGCCCAAGAACTGCGGAACGACGTCGTGGCCGGTGGGCCGTTGAAGCGCACCGTTTTGAGATTTTGTAACGAGCCTTGACAGTAGAAGCTATTAATAAAAGAGTTAATACCATGAAAAACCAAAAACTCGTAAACTCATCAAAAACTCGAACTGATATACTTGTAATAAATTTATCCTCTGTTAAATTATATTGATTCTACAAAAAATCACAAACTGATAAATTTGTAACAAATAAAATCTTAAACTGGCACACCTGTCAATTGCCACGTGTTATCCAACTTAGCAATTTGATAGAAAAATTTAATAGAAACTAACGGGCTGTAAATTTGTCACAGGTGTATTAGTTTTGAGTTTTCGATAGTCAAAAAATTAGTTTAGGGTAAATTTATTATTAGTATATCAATTTAGGGTTTTTTGTGGTATCACCTCTTAATAAAAATCATACATTTTCTTTTCTTTTCAATGAATTATTTTTTCTCCCGTGTCGCATATGATCATCACTTAAAAAATGAAGTATTTCTCATTGAACGTGCTTAACGATGATTTATCTTCGACACGCTTGTTAACAAATTCTCTTTTTAACGAAGAATTATTAGTAAAAAACAAATCGATATTGGCAACTTGTAAACGCAATGGTTAATATAACACGAGTGGACTTGTCTTTACTAGGGGTGAGCAACTTGGACCGCCCAAACCGGGACCGGACCGGACCGATGGGTTTGGTCCGGTTCTCGGGACTATCGGTCCGGTTCCCGGTTCCTAAAAGCGGAACCGGTTTCCGGGCGGTCCGGTTCCCGGTTCTAAGGGGGAACAGGACCGGAGCAGACCGACCGGACCGGACCGACTATTTAATATATATTTTTGTTATTTTTTTCTTTAAAAAAATTAATAAAATGTGAACTAAACTCTAAGTGAACTTCATTATCATAAATTCATTGATAAAAATTAGTAAAATGTGAATTAAACCCTAAGTGAACTTCATTGACATAAATTTATTGACAAAAATTAGTAAAATGTGAACAAAACCTTAAGTGTTTAACCAAAAAAAAAAAAAAAACTAAACTCTAAGTGACCGGTTCCATTGGACCGGAACCGGAACCGGACCGAACCGGTGGTCCAGTCCGATTCCCGGTCATAGAACCAATCAGTCCGGTCCGCGGTTCCCAAAATTGGGAATCGGTTCTCTCGGTCCGGTTCTCGGTTCCACCTTGGAACCGGACCGGATCAGGAACCGATCACCTCTAGTCTTTACGCAAAATTTCTAGCCACTTCAAAAATCAACCTCGTGCCCTCGTGCGTGTGTGTATGTACATTATAAGAATTTTTGGGATAATTATGCTTGGCGGGTGCGAAAGGAATTAGGACAAGTTCCTTAAAGAATAATCTCTTTATATATGGACAAATTTAATACAGCATTGCAAAGGTTTTGACCAGGACAAATTTAGCACGATGTTTCGAATTTCTAGGAAAAAAAATAATCTTAGATACTTTTAACACGGGCTTAGAACCTCTTAAAGAGAAGCACATCGTTTTATCCCGAGATAATTTATCCGTTAGATTTTCTGTGTAAAAATCCTCATTAAAAATCTTGCGTGGTGACTGTCGAGAATGGCAATTTGATAAGGGCTCTTTTTATGCTCTTGCTTGACTTTTAATACATGGAAAAAGTTGTAAAATGTTTAGTGTTTTGATTAGTGACTAGTAACTATTTAGGTGATTAGTAAGTCTCGATGAGCAAAACTAACTTCCTTCCTATCTGAAATTAGTGAACTTTGCGTGTGGTTTTAGTCACTTTCGCAATAAAGAATGAATTTCACAATAAGTGCAATATGCTGACGGTTTTAGTGCGGCTAGCGATTTTGTATACTATAAAAGTTTGTGCCTATATGTGTTTAGGGATGAGTTCGGTCGAGGTGGTAAATATTGTAAAAATGTAATCAAAATTTGAAACTTTTAATCCGTAAAATTCGTGCAATCGAATACCTTCTTTAGATTCGTTTAATTTGAGTGAGATAAAATGCTAACGTGATTTTTTTTAGGGTTAATACCATTAAAAATGTCAAATCGGCATCTTAATGACCTATCTACCCTAAACGTCTTAAAATCTAAAGTTGGTACTCTCGTGACATATTTGCTTCGAAATAATTTTCATTTCACGAAAAATCCCCAAACTGGTTACACTGCAAGTCAAATGCCAGCACTGTTAACAGAGGATAGCTCAAAGGTATCAATTTGGGGTTAATGCGTAATGGATATTAGTTTGAGATTTTTAATGAAATAAAATTAGTTCAAAACAAAAGTGCCATGAAGATACCGGTTTTGTTTTTTTTTGCCTATGCCACCACTCAACACCATTGCGTGAGGCCCTATAGCCTTTACCTATGGACAGTGACCCTTGCCGGTGCTGCCACTCTATTAAGCAAGAGAAGCAACGCCTCCTGCTGTAAGCCTCCGTAATCAATTTCTCTTCCATGTATCGTCCTGGCGAAGCTAACGAAGGTACTAGATTATATGAATTTGAGAAATTTTATGATTTGATTGCACAAATTGAAAGTTTTAGGACTTAATTGTATTTTATTGCAAAAAGAAATATTAATAGGTTTTTCTTAATTTCTTTGTAAATTCCATTTTATTATTGCCAAAATCACACGGTTCCTTCCATTCTTGATTTGTTTGTGGCATTAATTGCACTTGCACCGGGCATATTGATGACCCCGCTTTACTCCAAGAAACATGTCAGGGGTGATGAACTTGCTCACAATAAGCAATTATTAAGACTTAAATTGAATATTCAGATCTAATGTAAGATATTATACCAAAAGTGGTGTCTGTACATTAAATGCATTAAATTTCAATGAAGGGAGTATTTTTCCTTTCCAAATGAAGATTTAAGACTTAAGAAAATGTGAAAGTTTAGAGGAAAATCTCGGCAATAAGTAGTAAAATTGAATTACGAGAACGAGAAAATATTTTTAAAAAATTAAAAGATTTTTTTTAGATATTCACACAATTATAAATATCAAATTGATTTAGTAATGTCTAAAGTATCAAGTAATAAAATTAATTCTACAAGAACAAGAAACTAATTTTATTTATAATTTTATTTAAATTAATATTAATATTCATGCTATACAATCAATATATCTACAGAAAAATCTATCCAAATATCTTTATTATAACAATGAGAGAAAAATTTGCTCTATCGCTTTAAATATAATTCGCCATATAGAGTAGAATTACTTCAATTTAACATGTAGTAAAATACAATATCAGAGCTAACATTACTTAAAAGATAATAATTATTCAAAAAGAAATGATTAGATGATCAATTCGAATCAAATAGACACAATTCATACAAATTCAATATTTTGTAAAAAAATATGATGTCGGGAGGTGTTTGATATGTCTAAATTGAATTTATATACGGGTCAAATGAACCCATAAAATTCAATTACTCTCCAAATAATATATAACATTTTCAAGTGATATCTCTTTTATAATTTCAAGATTAAACTATTGCCATCATTCTAAAAGTACAATTTTCATCCATAAGGGTGAATGTAGAAGAGTCGAGAGATAAAAATTAGGGCTAATTTCTTAAAAAACCCTAACTTTCGGTTAAGGGCGCGTATGGAATCACATAATGCATTCCGAAACAGAAATGCGTTTGTTAAAAAATTTCTAGAATACATTCTGAAGCAATTTTTGCATTCTGGAATAAAAATGCATTTGGTAAAAACTTCATTCTTTTTTAGCTCTTGAATGAATTTTTGCTTCCGGAATGAGTTTTGGCCAAAAAAAGAGAAGCTACTTTTTGTAGCTTCTTTCTTCCAGAATGTATTCTAGCCCAAATTTCCTTCTTTACAAGAAATCAAAAAATTCAAAAAATCAAAAAATAAAAAATTTTCAAAATTTCACAGAATGCCCTAAAATACCCATGGCCGCCTACTTTAAGTGAAATTTAAATTTTTTTAGATGCTCAAAAAAATCAAAAAATCAAAAATTTCAATTTTTTACAAAACGGCTTAGAATACCTGTGGCATCCACTTTTAGTGAAATTTAAATTTTTTGAGGTGCCCAAAAAAAATCAAAAATCAAAAATTTCAAAATTTCACAGAATGGCTTAGAATACCTGTGGCCACTCACTTTGAGTGAAATTTAAATTTTTTTAGGTACCCAAAAAAAAATCAAAAAAATCAAAAATTTCAAAATTTTACAGAATGGCTTAGAAACATGTGGTCACCTACTTTGAGTGAAATTTAAAATTTTTGAGGTGCCCAAAAAAAAATTAAAAAATAAAAAATTTTACATAATGGTTTTGAATACCTGTGGCCACCCACTTTGAGTGAAATTTAAATTTTTTTAGGTGCAAAAAAAAAATCAAAAATTTCAAAACTTCACAAAATGGCTTAGAATACATTTGGCCATCCATCTTGAGTGAAATTTAAATTTTTTGAGGTGCCCAAAAGAAAATTTCAAAATAAAAAATTTCAAAATTTCACAGAATGACTTAGAATACCTATGGCCACCCGCTTTGAGTGAAATTTAAATTTTTTGAGGTGCCCGAAAAAAAATCAAAAAATAAAAAACTTCAAAACTTCCTAAAATAGCTTAGAATACCTGTGGCCACCCACTTTGAGTGAAATTTAAATTTTTTGTGGTGCCCAAAATAATCAAAGATAAAATTTTTTAAAACTTCACAGAATGGCTTAGAATACATGTAACTACCCACTTTGAGTGAAATTTAAATTTTTGGGCACCTCCAAAAGCAGAAATTTCCTTCTGTTTCATCAAACATATTTATCTTCCAGAAATCAATTTCTGGAGCAGAATTAGTCCTGTTTTATCAAACAGATTTCTTCTCCAAAAGTCAATTTCTAGCAAGAATTTCATAAATCAATTTCTGACAAGAATTTGATTTCTAGAATAGAATGGATTCCATGCGCGCCCTAAAGCTCAATCCTGGTCCAATTTTTTTTGTCAAAAAAGTCATCAACTTTCTTTCTAGTTACAAATCTAACACCACTAACATTTTTTAAAATTATCAACATCAGAGCCATTTAGAGATTCATTATCATGACCGAGGGTATACAAAGGAACCGGAATTGGGAATCGGATCGGACCGGCTCGGAATTGTACCGGACCGGCCCCAGATCGGAGATTCCTGTGGAGACCGGTCCGGTTCCCGGTTCTAGGCGTGGAACTGCCTACCCACTCACCTTGACCGGACCAGTAATATATATAATTTTTAAGAAAAATTTCCAAAAAAAAAAAGAAAAAATTTTAAGAAAAATAAAAACCCTAAAATCCCTAATTTGAAGCTCAATGCCCATCAACTGAGTACTCATCTTGTCTCACTCTCACCTTATCTAAGTTGTGTCTCTATCTCTCTCTCGTTATTTGAACTCTCAAGCTCAACACGTATCGACTCATGGCCACACCTCCTGCCGTTCATCGCCTCCCTCTCGCTCTCAGTCACCTTTATTTGCGTGAAGTTTGGTGGGCCCATGAAACGAACGGGTGGTTCCTGGTTTCGATTTTTCGGAACTGGTCCTTAATGGGCGGTTCCCGATTTCATGGTGAGAATTGCCCACCCGAATCATGCTCACCCCTGATTATAACGAGCATCTTCAACAACACCCCAACTTCGTAAGGAACAACAGTAACCTTCCGATGTTGATAATTTTGAAGAGACCGATAACGATTCTCGGACGTAGGACTAACGGGAGCAGACTTGGGATTAGAGTAGAAATTGATGATTTATTTTGAAATAAAAAGAAATCCGGGGTATAATTGAAATTTGACCTAAAATTGAGGGTTTTTTTTTAGGGGAGGCATATATTTTGTTTTGTTATGTATTCGCTGCTACCATCCGCTGCCTCTAGAGAGAGAGAGAGAGAGAGAGAGAGAGAGACGCGAAGAGAAGAAGAAGAAGCTGAGAAGACTTGAGAAGCTGCGGTGCGGTTTCCCCAAATTGACCCCGATAAATACCCCGGTTCCCTCTTCCCATCTTCCCCCACCCACATATATATAGCACACGAAGCTCTTCTCCTCCTTCTTCTTCTTCAGTTTTCCACCAGATATCTCTGCCTTCGGCCAAAAGAAAAGAGCTTCCCCCAATACCGATTCCCTCCCCCATGGCGAGGCCTGATCAGGAAGCGATCGAGACCTTCGCCAGCATCACCGGCGTGGCCGAGGCCGTCGCCATCCAAATACTCGAGGTGAAATTTCGTCCGGAACCCGCCGATCGGGCCTTCTCCACGGGGGTGGGGGGAGAATTCCGTGTTCTTGATTTCTCGACGCGCGGTTGTGGTAGGGGGAAATTTTATGGGCAATCGACTGGTTGGCGGATGCGTTCGTGGAAAGAATAGGGCTTTTTTTCTCTTCCTTCACTTGAGTTGGGTGATCGGTGTGGGTTGCTGAATCGGGTGCGGTTGCTTGTAGTTAGGCGGCGCCTCGTGCGATCGTCTGATTCAGCTGGTTTTTTTTTTTCTGGCTCATTGATTGTGTTGGGAGTGCTTCTGGGTTGTAGCTTGTTGGGTCAATGCTTGCTGATTGGGTTTTCTGCTTAATGTGAGTCGTGTTCGAGCTAGAGGTTGCTTGGGGGTTTTTTTTTTCTTTTCGGTAAAATTCGTGCTTAGTCAGAATTAGAGACATTGGAAGTATGAATATGAAAGCTGGAAAATGCTTACATGAGAGATAAATAAAGTGGGGAACTTTGTAATGCACAGGGAAAATTAGAACTTGCTTGTCGGTACAAGACATTGGAAGTATGAATATGAAAGCTGGAAAATGCTTACATGAGAGATAAATAAAGTGGGGAACTTTGTAATTCGTAGGGCAAATTAGAACTTGCTTGTCGGTACAAGACTGTGAGGTACATATGTCGTAACTTCACTGTGAATAATACCAAAAATAGGTTACTTTGAATCGGTAAACAAGGTAGTTCTCGTCAAATGTAAGGCCATTTTTAGGCAAGAATTTCGGTCTTCTGAATATAAGAGAAGGTTAATGCTTTTGCAATTTGCTTAGCATAGGCAATGGAAATCATGGGACGATGCATAGTGATTGGGGTTTTCTGTTAAATGTCATTTTCAAGCAAGAGCTTGGGCTTCGTGTGGTGTCTTATTCCTGTTTGGGGCCGCTTTTCAGCTACTTCTTACTTTTAACTTACAAGTGTCCCTTCAATATATGAAAATAGAAATATTATTTATGTTTTGAAACTATGGAAAAAACTACATATGATTTTACATGTCAATATTTAAACGTTTTGATTTCGAGTGTTTTCTTTTAAGTAAAAGTCAAAATGTGAGTATTGCACGATTTAAAGAAAGAGAGTCAAAAGTTAAAAGTAGAGCTCACCCAAACTGGCAGAACCTGGAAATAGATATCGGGTTGTTAAAAGTTGGAGACTTTCAAAGTTCGAAGGTGGGTGCCTATGAGTTACTTAAAGCGTGGAACTTTGTAATTTATAGGGGAATCCAGCATTAGAATGTTTACATATTCTGCATGGGCTTGTCACTACTCCCGAGTGAATAGAGCTTAGCATGTTTGTGTTTGCACTATTGGCAGATTAGACAGAGTGGTGTTTCTTTCATATATTTATTTGTGCGTTAATAGTCAATACCCCCCCTTCTGTTGAACTTATTTACATTATTCTTTTTGGCTTTGGACTTTCGTTTCTATTTGCTGAATTGTTAGTCGAAGTGTTCGGTCGATGTTTTTAATTAGTTCTTTTTATTTACTTTAACCAGGAGCATGGTGGCAACCTCAATGAAGCTGTCAATGCACACTTCAGTGAAGGAGATAGAAACACGTCAGTGAATTGTCATATATTTCCATATAGTACCAATATATGTACATGAAGAATTTTCTGTGTTACTGTGTTTTCATGTTCTGTTTTGTCTTGTTTCTTTCTCACTCCTGTTTTGTTGGTTTTCTCTTAACCAGTGTGAACGCAACATCTATTGCACGTCAAGATGATTTCATGGATATTGACGAGCCCTTTCAAGTTGAACGTCCAGAACAACCCCTCTCGCTCCTCTCTGCTGCTAGAGGCAGATCCAATGCTCACTCTCTTCCCAATGAAAGTTTCACTGGGAGATTTCTTGATGCCAGTTCTGATTTTGGGCAACAAGCACCAATTGTCACACATCCGAGGAACGTCAGGGAAATTCCCATAGAGGTTAAGGATGGCAATGGGTCATCTGATCATTCTGGCAGGGGTCCCACCATGGAGGATGTAACTGGTACTGAACATTATCATGGTCCAGAAGTTCGCGGACCTGTTATAGTCGATGAAGGAGATGATGTTCCAGCTGAATCGACTGCACGTGCGACACGAGAAAACGAGGATACCGAGGATTCTACAGGTGTCAGTTCCCGGAACAGAAATGTGGGGCCAAGTCCATCCGGGTTTGACAATTACAATGAAGACATAGAAGAAGAAATGATTCAAGCTGCCATTGAGGCATCGAAACGGGATATCGAGAGCAGCGACCTTTTCCAAAATGTATGTTGTCCTAACCATTTTAGTTTTCCGCTACTGCAGATATGTTATATCAGTTTTCCAGTCTCACATGACGAGAAAATTGTAAACAGGCTGCCGAGCAAGAAAGGGCATTGCATGAGCGAAGGGATGACCTTGGAGACTCAAAAGCAGTGGATCACAATAGTTCAGAGGTAGAACTGAGCAAATTGGCTTCATCGAATGGGAGGTAAGTGATTTGGAGCAGCATCAAAATTTTGACATTTGTCATATTTCATCGTTATTTGCTGCTTCTTTTAATTGCCCCTATAGGCTGGATGCAGGAGGACCATCGAACCAAGATGAAGTTGAAGAAGTGGAGCAACCTCTCATTAGGCAAAGGCCCAGGCGACGCTCTGCCCGTGCTGTTGTAGCTGTCCAGGAAATTGAGGATGATCCGCCGCCTTCTGAACAGAGTATTCATAATCAACATCAGCTCAATGGAAGCACATTCCCTTCTGAGGTGCCATGATATTACCCTTTTGGTTCTCTATTTATTGCAATTACCTTCTCTTTTCCAACTCGTGTTTTTTTTTCCTCCTTTTCTCCCCCTTTTGCCATATTTAAGTGGGGTGGTATCTCCTCCGAGGAACATGATGAAGCAGTTATGCTTGAAGCTGCAATGTTCGGTGGAATTCCTGAAGGGACTGCATATAATTACGCTTATGGACCTCATCAATTCATGCGAGGTGATAGTCTTTATCCCCGGGTATCACCTCGACCTCCATCACCCTCTCTTGAAGCCCAGCGCTTAATAAGGGAACAACAGGTGTGATTTTGGGCTTCTAGTGTAGATTGTTCTCTTTAGCAGGTCCATTGTTCGTTTTAAAAATATTAGGTGTGCAGGATGATGAGTATCTTGCGTCACTACAAGCTGACCAAGAGAAGGAAATGAGGGCCAAGGCAGAAGCTGAAGCTCGTCGTTTGGAAGAGGAAGCAGCCAGAGAAGCAGCTCTTGAGGAAGAAAGACGAAAAGAGGAAGAATCTCGCAGGAAATTGGAGGAGGAGCAGGTAGACTCGTCAGATTTCTTTTTCTGTCTTGTTGTGCTTTTAAGTTATTGACAGCTGATCATAATTGACAATCTCATAGAATGGACAATTGTATAAAGTCCTGTATGAGACATGATGCATGGTGTAGTCATCTTAGGTCATGTTTGGTTGGAGGTGAATGGCAGAAATGGATTGCCATTCGGCTTCCAATATCCTTTCCCTTGTTTATTGGGGAACTTGGAAGCTAGAATGCCCTCTTCAGCAGACTGAGTACTACAAAAAAAAATTTGTCAATCACGGGCTAATGCCTGCTTTATTGGAATGAGAAGTCTGCCTACCAAGGGCATTGTCGTTCCTCTAGAGCCCTGAAATGGCAATTTCATTCAATCTTCCATTAATAGTAAGAACAGTCCCGAAGATACTAAGATTGGTTTACAAAATGCTGTGGGAAAGTCCTAATGGATTTTGAATACGATTCACTTGTTCAAATATCCAGTTGCAGTTTTCACATCACTCAGTAAGTCAATTTTGTGAACCAATCGCAGTATCGCTAGCATTGGTCTTACTTCAAATGTAGCACAAACTTTTGAGTTGTCTAATTAAATAAATTAGAGAGGATTATTTGTTTCACTAATTTGTGGGACCATCAGTTATTAAAATCAAAGTGTTTATTCCGCTCCATTTCTCGGTGAATCTCTTTTGATGACTAATTTGATTCCAACTTAGTTCCAGTCATGGTACATGACATAAAATCAATCATCTTATGTGGATTTTACCTGTGCGGTGCTTTTATCTCGCACTCTTGCCTGAGTGTTTCGCTGAAGAGGCAGTGTATTGCTTTTCTTACCATTACTTTAGCTTTGTGGTTGCATCTTTAGCATTTATGGTTTCTATGACAGGAATTTGAGAGACAACTAGCCGCAAAGGAGGCTTCTCTTCCTCAGGAACCCATGCCAGATGATGAAAATGCGATAACCCTCCTAGTGAGAATGCCAGATGGCAGCCGGCGAGGCCGACGGTTCCTCAAATCTGATAAGTTGCAGGTGAATCAAGTTGAATAGGAGTTCTATTCTTTCGTTTTTTTTTTTTTATCTCAAAGAATTTGCTCATTGTACTTACCTTATCCACGCTTATTCTGGTTTTTGTTTTTCTCTGCAGTGTCTTTTTGACTTCATAGACATTGGTAGGGTAGTCAAACCTGGTGCATATAGGCTGGTAATACTTCTGATCCTTGCTGGATTTTGCTGTTTACTACGTACACTTCACTTGAGAGTGTTGGTTTATTGTTCAAACTTCAAAAGGCATGAATCGTGAACAGATGAAAAGAAGTATGTGATATGGCACCTGGGAAGATACCTTTGGTTTTACCTGCAAGTGCTTATGTGGTTTTTTGAACAGGTGAGGCCTTACCCACGGCGTGCTTTCACCGACGGTGAGAGCACATTGACTCTAAACGAGCTTGGGCTTACAAGCAAACAAGAGGCGCTGTTCCTCGAGGTGATTTAGCGTGACGTCCATGGTATTGTAGTTTCATGCATTGCGAAATGCTGGTTTTTATCTGGGTTTATGCTGTTGGATCGATCAAAAGGAACTTTGAAGTGGCAATATTTGTCAACCGAAACGCTGATGGTTACAAAATTTGTTTATGTACTTATGGCATTTCATTGTCGGGCAGAATTTCCTCTTGTACTTTGGGAGGGTTCGTGCTTGAGGTTAGGTGTGCTGTTATTGACCGCATGCTTGAGCCAATTAGAAACCGAAGCTTGTAAAACTCTCTCTCTTTCTCTCTGTGAATGTGCAATTCATTCTATTGCAAAGCCCGAGCGTGAGCGACGCGGAGAGGCAGAGGTCTGCTTGTGGCCAAGATACTGCAGCGTTTCAATGTTTGGAGTGAAATTGGGCTGAGCTAAGGAAAAGTATCGTGCGTGATGAAGTGTTGCCGTTTCCTATCCTCGATCATGTCCTAATGCCATATCTCTTTTGTGTTTATCTTATGATGCCGTCTTGTAAGATGATGATGATGAAACGTGAGCATGTGTTAGGACTAGGAATCGGACGGACCAAGTGAAGTCGCGGCCTTCGGGGCTCACGGGACCGTATGATCTGTGGCTGTGATCGATTTGGTCCATGTGCGGGGGATTCGGCCCTCCATTTGCCCCTGTTCTCATCGGACTGTCACCCAGCATGTGTTCTTCTGATCAAGTGGAGGCTTCACCTGTATCAGCCCGCGATCGGCCAGTTAATTTATCCGCTCCGGACATTAAGCTGGGGTACGAGGATTACACATATGAGGCGACGTTAGCATTGGCATCTAACAGCCGCTTTAATCTCCTTTGAGTGGATCAGCAAATGCACACAGCATCAATCCGCATGATTGTCTCAAGGATGTCTCATCATATTTCACCTGTGTCGGTGCTTATATCATTTCTATGCATCAAAGGTTAACAAGCGATCGTGTTTGAGACGATAACCGAAACACCGTGCGGGGTAGGGGGATCTTTATAAACTCGACATAGGCGGTTATCGACACAAAGAAAGGTGACGAGGAGGAATTGATAAATAAGGAATAAAGAACTATTTGCTCCGGCATATTGTAAGAAAAAAGACGCCCAATTTTCTGTACCAAATATCGAATCTATGAATTTTTCCCCACGAAATAAAGCAAGATAAAATCGAGGTGTTTTCTCAAATTTTTACTTGATAACTGATGGAAAGTGACTACATAGAATGATAGTCTAGTACCTAATGATCTCTCCCTAATTATATGGACACCGATTAGCCGGCCAAAACGTGGAATGTTGCCTAACACATTAACCCTCATACGCTACTTGACCCTTTGTCCTTCCTAAAACCAAAAGAAGAAGAGAAGATGGAAAATTACCGATCAGTTTTAAATTCATGATTTAGTAAAATTGAAAAATTTAGAATTGAATTAATATCGGTATAATAAATTTATGATTAATTAGATAATTTTTTTTTGAAGAAAAAAAAAACGAAGGTATGAGTTTTTTTATTGTCCCCCCTAAACATGAGGGGCTGAGTGAAAGGCTAATCGATTACGAGCAACTTTAAAGTCTGAGCGGAAATCAATGGCATCAAGGAAAAGATTATCAAAGCATTTTGGAAGTGATGGATTTTGTTTTTTTGGTCGAAGGAAGTGATAGATGACAAGGACCGTTCGTGCAACAAATATTTATAGGTGAATTGAACGGCCCAGAAAGTCACAAAGTACAGCTCCAGCTAGCAAGTTGCAGCGGCATCTGATATGCCGTGGATGTCCATCTCAAGTTCAATTGCTTATCTTATCATTTCTTACCTGTTTTCCTTATCTTCAATTATCATTTTTGTCCCGGCCACGTCGATGCAATTATCATTTTGCCGTCGTTCAAGAACACGAGTATTGTTAAAGTATCGTCTCGCGTCGTTTGACAACGAATCCTAAATACTCTTTATATTCATGTGAACTTCCTCCAATTATTAAGTTAGACTTCCCAACAAATATAAAGGCCCGACAACTTAAAATTTATCCGTAGAAAGCTAAAACGTTTTCGAATTCTAGTAACCCTTTTGATTGCTTGCAGATATTTCTTCATATATTTTCTCTCTATCTCCATCTCTCTCGGGAATCAAGCGTTATGTCACAAGCGAAAGACATCATCGTCAATCATCATGGTGCTTCAATGCTTATTTCGATTATAACGTTGGGGATTGTGTTGTGTTGGCTGATGGCTATTGCTCTGCATCCGCTAAATTGGAATTCCATCGGTGTCACGTTCCCCTCAAAAGTCAGCATCGCATGCTAGCCTTTGCTGAAAATCTTGAAAATGACCTCTCTTGGCCACTAATGGTATCGCAAAGTTGTGGGGTGGAAGGCTTTTTAAGGGAGGTGGGTGCTTGTCGCCTGTCACGATCTCTCTCGATCACTACTCAGTCGAGGTCCATTGGCAATCGCGCATCCAAAAAATTGGCAATGATATCTCGAATGCGGTAGTAATTTCCTTCACACGAGTTAGTAATTAAGATTTTATTATGAAATTGCCTGTTACCATGGTTGCACGGCCTGGTTGGTCGCTTGCGCCATGCCGAACGGTAAAGGATTTAGCTCAACGACCGGAGTATGTCGTGCACCGTCGATTGATCGGGACTCTTTGAGTGACATGAGATAATAACTTCAGCATCTTTTCTCACTTGTAAGTTTGTAACTCGGGTTAGGAACGACTTGTAGGCTTAGAGAATAGCAAAGTTGAATCGTGTTGAATAAAAAATCACTCGCTCCATGAAAATAACTCGTGAGACGTAAAGAAACTGAAATTCACTAGCAAAATTTGTTTTTCGCACGGGGTTTAATGTAGACCACGTGAATAGTGTCACGCATCGAAAACATCAGCTATTTAAATGAATTAAAGAGGTGTGAGAGAAGGAACCAGGCAAAATTAGTAGACTCGGATACTAAGTGGAAAGAGAAGAGCATTGTAAAACTCGAAATCACCCAAAATATAATAATATTGTAGAGATATGATATGTAAATTGAAAGAGATTATACATAGCAAAAGGGCCTGATCGGATAATTTAAAACTGAATTGGTATCCGTATAATAATTTTTAAATTGATTGGACAATTTCCTTGACTAATTGAACAAGTTGCGACTCAATCCAACATTCCCATGTCTAAAAAATATAAATAATTGAAACCTCAAACTCCTATGAAGAATCGATGACATACATGACAATGAAAATCACCCTTTGGGGGCCTATTCTAATTAAATAGTGAAATAATAATGCGTGTAAGATGATTTTTTTTTTGGGTCAATACCACAAGAAACCCTAAACTGATAATTTATTCAAAACTAATTTTTTGACAACTAAAAACCCCCAACTGGTGTACTTATAACAAATTTACCTTTTATTAATTTCCGTTTTAATTGTATTTTTTTTTTACAAAAATAGGAAATTCACTTCTCATTTCTTTCTGACAATTAAATTTTACAGTCGAATTGCTGAGTTTGATGATGCGTGGCAGTTGATGGGTGTACCGGTTTATGGTTTTACCTCTCTATTTGTTACATGTTTACAAGTTTGTGACTTTCGTGGTATTAATCTAATTTAACGGAGGATAAATTATCACAAGTATATCAGTTTAGGAATTTTGGTGGTCTAAAAATTAGTTTTGAGTAAATTTGTCACGGGTTTATGGAGATTTATCATGATATTAACCATTTTTTTTCTTTTATAATGAAAGAAGGAAGAAACGTATGAGGAGCTTTTTGTAGAAGTGGTTTCTCATTGTCAATCAAAATCGGTCCCCAACTAGCACGACAAAGAAACTTAAACATCCGGAAACTAAAATAACTTATCTCAATCCGATGTTTAATCAAATCGGTCATGCCACCATCCCTACATAATTTTTTTAATTGCCACTATTATATCATGACAAAGTACTAAGATCGCGATTAAAAAACGCGTATGTCTAGTACTGAATACACCCGGTGCATGTGAGCCCGATCCATATCCGTCGTCGGATCAGGCAGGTCCCACGTCGAATCCGCTTCGTCCGACGGTGCATGCAAATCGGTCTTTACTAGCATCGGTGTGCAGCTAAGTTTTTTCTCTCGTTCCCGATCGATCCATGTAGTTGATATGATCCACTGATTCGGATATACATATCGAGCACTTGTTCCCTTCTTGATTGTACGTATAGATAACGGTTCGAATTTAATGATTTCAACTTGTTATGTTTTTCTTTCACGTGGAACATCGGTTTGTCAATCTCGATGTCAATTTAAAATGATGGGGTCATGTATTATAATATGGTACAATACTATAGTACCAGCTGTTGTTGTGTCACTTTCGATATGGATTGGTGGTCCTATTGAATTAGGTAACACTTGTGAGGATCGTATCAATGCTACATTGGAATTAGATCTGATCAACGTGGGGATGGATTTGCCAACATTGGAAAATTCAATTCGGATTTGGTGGCGCAGAAAAAAAATTGTCCCTATCATCCAAGGTTGTCTAAAGCCATCCAAAGTTTGAATTAGGGTAATACACTTATAAATAGAGATATAGATTCTTTTTTTTACCCTAGATTGGTCGAGGGAACAAGCACTAGTCGATTAAGTTATGGCGGCCTAGGTTTAAAGTCAACAATTTCGGGTCGTGTTGTTATATTCCTGCCGATTGTCTAATATCACTTCACGTCGTCACCAAAGTTTTGACATGATTATAAAAGTAAGTTTTCTTTTTTATTGAAAATGGATTAAGACGTGTCGAATTCGAGTTAGCTGCTTCGTGCCGAGTTAGATTCGAATTTCTTCGATAACTTCGTAACGTGTCGACACAAGAAGGAACGGTACTTAAAAGCGACACGCCGTAAATTACCGCGGCGCCCTTTTCGCAACTACCCCGAGAAAGGTGACCCCAACCCCCCCGATTATCCCGCCAGCAGGGTTGAGCACACATCCGAGTCATCCTCCACCGGACTTCCAATTTTCTCTTGCATTTTCGTTGGAAAAAACAGGAGACGACAGGAGAGTTCCTCGTCATCTGCTAAGACCAGCTCGGTGTGCGTGCGCCGTCCCAACGAATGATCTTTCCGAAGAGCCAATGGTGACCGCAGGATTTCCCTTCCCAGAAGGAGGAAGTCTCAAACCATCATCCCCCGCCGCCCACAGCAAAATTTCAGAAAAGCGTGCTCGATTTCGACAAGATCATCCCCTGATTTCCCCCCCCACAAAATCAAGATCGATGGGTCAGATGAATTTGACGACTCGTGGTCATCGTAGTCATCATCGCCTTCTCCCCTCCGTCTATATCAAGAACGTCCTCCTCACCGTCCTCCCTCCACTCTCTCTCTCTCTCTCTCTCTCAACAAACGAACGAACGAACAAACAAGCACAGCAGAGCAGAACAGAACAGAACAGAACAGAGCAGAGCAGACAAAACGACCCAAGAGATTAGATTAGCATTAAGTAAAGCAAAATCGAAGCCAATCCGATATGGCTACGCGTCGGTTTACAAAACCCACCTCCCCGTTTCCTCATCTCTCCTGCTCCACGTTCCACCCCGGCTACTAATAAGAAATCTTCAAGAAAGTTCGGATTTTTCCTCCTCGTTCGTTGTTCGTTCGTTCGTTCTCGGGGAGAGACCCTTTTGGCGAAATGGGTTTGATCTTCTCGAGCGAGTCCCTGGGTTGCGCGCCCTCCGCCGGGCCGGCGGCGGCGACGGGGCTGGGGGACCTGCCGGAGGGCTGCGCGGCGTCGATCTTGGCCTACTTGGAGCCGACGGATATCTGCCGGCTGGGGGGACTGAATCGGGCGTTCCGAGGGGCGTCGTGGGCGGATTTCGTCTGGGAATCGAAGCTGCCCGAGAACTACGGTGTTCTCGTCGAGAAGGTGCTCGGTGGTGCCTGTGTCGTTGGAAATGGGTTGAGCAAGAGGGAGATATACACGCGGCTTTGTCGAGCTAACGTTTTCGATGGAGGCACAAAGGTAGACGTTTTGTAGCGGAATTATTGTTAAGAGTCGATGAATTTTTTGATAGAGCAATGAATTTCTCATGATCGTTAAGTGAAGAAATGTTGTGTGTTTGAATTTATCTACTATTTGGATGTTTATGAGGTTTTCGTTTGTAAGGATTGTTGATCTCTTCTTCTGGCTTGGAGCTGATAATCTGATAAAAGTGTCCAGTTTTAGATTCACCAAGGTACTTCTGATACAGAAAATATGTGGAGAAAAGCTGAGATTATGTTTTCAGATGATGAAAAATTTGTTGATTGGGATCTGAGAAATAGGATTATATCAACAGTAGTTGAAATTGAGCTTTTTCTGTTTTTACTCTTATCGAAATCTGCTGGATATATGGGGAGCTTTTGTGGTGAGAGTACTGGCATTAGGAAGTGTTATTTTCTCTTCTGGTGGTTTATTTCAGCTAATAATCTGACCTACCTCGATTTTTTTGGATATTTTTTACTTGTTTCGAGAACTGGGTTCTTTCTCTTTGATGCATGGGTTGCGTGTGATGTTCCGCGCCGAATTATATCGGCATAGGGTTTAATTCGCGAATCTCTACGAGTTAGTCGAGTTCGGATTTATGATTCAATTGCCCAAGCTTTCAGTTAAGCAAGGTTGACGCGGCATAGCTGATGCGGTATTGTTGTTTATCTGTTTTGCCAGAAAGTTTGGCTGGATAAATGTACCAGCCGTGTTTGTATATCTATTGCTTCAAAAGGCTTAGCTATTACTGGGATCGATGATAGAAGATATTGGAGTCACATCCCAACAGAGGAATCTAGGTGAGTCTCGTGTTAATTCCTTGTCAGATTCATTGACGAAATTATATGCGTTTTTGGGAACTTATTGTTTAGGTAAATTTCCCGATAGGGTCCCAAGTGTTCGGGTTTGGGGATTCCTCATTGTAATCATCCTGAAGAGGTCCTTTAATTATCTTAGTATTCAATTTCTTTTTGCAAATTCCGCGGATTTTACGCCTTGATGTTTGGCCTGTTTGCCTATTAGTTTCTGCACGGGATTTTTAGCATTATTTGTGCAAAGCACTACATCATGGAAGTTGCGTTTTCTTTTTTGGATATAATCATGTTATCTTTTTGGATGCTTTTGGTAGATGGCCTTAAGAACCGGAGCTCAGCTTTCTTAACCTCATGCTGAAGGACCTATCAGTTTAGTTTCATTGGTGGACTATTTATCTGATTCTTCTATATTTGTAAAGTTATCAGCTGTCTTCAAGAAGTTATAACCATGATGCTTTTGGAAGAAGAATGGACTCAGTTCTGAGCTTTGATTACGACATCTAGTTGTTATACGACTCAGTTCTGAGCTTTGATTCCTACATCTAGTTGTTATATCTTTTGGGCTATTTATACAGGCAATATCAGAAAATTAAGGACTATTCACTTAGAGCTTTATCTATTTTTTTTTTTAAATATCAAACTCTTTTGAGGCACCAATCAGAATTTGATGCAATTAGATGGTTCCAGTCTTTCTTTGAAATATTAAACTTTTAGACCATGACATGCTTTGTAGCCTTTGCAGCTGAACTTTCCTGCTGTTATTGACAGTTGACATGGCGTCCATCAAGAAGTCAGGGCAACTGTCTCAAAAACTTTATTACCTCGTAAATTTCGTCATCCTTATTTTCTCTCGTTGTTGGAAAGCAAATAAAAAAAAGCATGGAGACTTGTATAAAGTGTAGAATTTGGGTTACACAATGTCATTTGTTACTGAATCTGAAGTGCTACTCTTGTTTCGTTGAGTACCATAGTCTTAGGCCTATCATCTACATGTGCAGTTGGTGCTTGACATCTATTCTGCTATTTTTCAATCTATGGGAAATGGCCAAGTATGGTTGGAAGGAGATAAGGTTTTTTTGGGTTTGTGTCTTCGAAAAACATCGGTGCTCCTTTGTACTTTTCTTAGCCTTTTTTATTTCTTTAGCCTTGTTGACTTATAAATGCTGATGTTTGTTCTGGGAATTGGGTGTGCCAATTGAAAACCTGATAGCGGCATTGTTGGTGAATTCTGTTATACCACATGAGTTATTACAGTCAAATAAAGCTACCAATTGGATTGCTGTCTTTGAGAGAGCACTTGCGTGTTTGGTTAAGTATCATCACCATACCAAGCCTCAGGAGGTGTGGTCATGGGTTAGTCCTACTGAAAAAAACTTCCTTTGGGCCACTCTTGGGTTTCCCCTGCCTTGGTAACTACTTAGTTGCAATGCAATGGGAGACTACCTCGACAGATTAGTAGGGTGCTTTAAGAGGCACCGACGCTTAATGTTAGAAAAAGA